ATTTAAGAGGAAATTAGTGAACAAGAAGATAGATAAGAATAATGAAAATTTTTGAAGACAAGTAATTCAGTGGATTAGGCAGAGAGAACTTGGAATTTTTAACTGAATTTTAACACCAACATCATTCATTATCCTCATAAACCAGTGAGATCTCAGAGTTACTTAAGGACTTAAAGGCTCAACTTACTTGCAAAGCCTATCAAGCATGTTCAAGATCCCATACGACAGTGGTTCTTACCCCTGAATTTCCCGTCCATGAAATGAGGAATAACTTACTCCACACCAGTGATGCACAAATAGAAGCCTCAAAAATTCTGATATTTAAACATGATATGAATGTTCTAATAGGCTCCTGGGCTGTTCTTTTACACAAACCCCTCAGCTGTTAAAAAGTGTTATGTTTCTTGCAAGAGAAGTAAATAATATTTATGACCTTTTCCTGATTTATGAAAAAAAATATATTCTAAATGAACAACAAGCTCCAATTTCAAAACTAAATATACCCCACACACATTTGTTTACTAAGCTACAGTAGCTACTTTAGGCACATAAATAAAATCACAGAATTTAAAGGTGCTTTTGCAGGAGTGGGACATACACTCCTTTCATCTTTTAGGCGACCTCAGAAATTTTTTAATTCAATCAGGTTACTGACTTCCTGAATAGGAAAAGTGGACATAAAGGAACAAACATGTTACAATAGTGTCATCTACTGGTAAAATCTATTTCTGCACAATTTCTTGAGTTTATAGGAAATGCATTTTTTCCCCAGTGAAATTTTTGAAGTTTCATGATGCTACACAAGATGCATAGGTCATGAAGAATAACTGTCACAATTAAAATTTGGAGGTTTTTTAATGGAGGAAAAATAAAAGAAGTGTATTGGAATTATTTCTAGAGTCATCTTTTTATTTTCCTGTAACAGTCAGATGCAGTTACAAAAAAATTGACAAAGTACATACTTAAAAGGCTCATCCAAAAAAAAATAAATCTAAGCTTAATAGTTGAGGAAGACAAGGGAAATGGAACAAAAAAAATAATTCCTTTGCCATTCAGTGAATCCAGTTCATTAGCAGTTTACAGACTATACAGTTTCCCTTTGAAGGAGTTAATTTTAAAATTATCATTTGCAACAGAAAATTCATACTAAGCATTACTCTCAAGCAAATGCATTACTTTTCTGAACAGCTATTTTCCTGCTAAGAACAGTAACAATTTACCTATCATTATTTTGCAGAAGGCTAGGAAGTAAAGCAGAAAGCTTAAGACTATATATAATGGGAACATGACCTGCAAATAATCAACCAAGATGAGATCAAGAACTTGATGGGCTGTGATGAGTGCTCATGCACCTCCCTCATTTTTCCTACTGAAATCAAATGTGTGTTAAACAGGAATTCAAGCCAAAACCTTAAGGTGGTATTTTGGTAGTGTAAATTGTATGGTCTGATAATACAGGTAACTGCCATATCAGAGACCTTTTATTTTTTTCCCCCCTTCCGAGTTCACATTTCTAGTTTAAGCCTAAATAAAATCTAGTATCAACTTCTAATCTGTTAAATGCAGCTTATTAAAATTCTAGGTCTCATTTCCTTTAAGTTTTTATCACACAAATATTCAGTTTCAGGATTTTTTTATTCCCTACAGTATTATAAAGATGCAATTTTGTCTGGTTTACACTATTAAGTCATTAGCTTCCATTTTTGTATGCAGAGACTACTATTTTTCCAAGGTGCTTGACACCTTAATTTCACGATACTTAGGCATTTACATGCCAATATAATTGATATCAATATTCCCCAAAACAAGCAGTACAGGGTTATACAAGGTTCCCTTCCTATATAAAGTTACTCATGGGTGCTTTTGCAGAACCCAGGTTGAGCAACACTGTTGTAATGATAGTCAGTAGAAATACATGAGCAGCTGCAGTGAAACATATTCAGCATTGCAGGCAACTCTCTACCTTCAGTTGTGTGTTATTCAAAACAAAACAAATCATAATTGCCTTACCACATAAAAGACTTCTACGATCCTCAAAACTTTTAAGTAACGCACACAATGCTCCTCTGTAGTACAATAACTTGTGTTATTTAAACTACCAGTGATGTTTTTCATCATTTCAGACACCTGTTTTTTCTCTGGAAGCCTAATTCTGAGTTACATGGTTACTTTACACTCCCAATTTTTTATTTCTAATGAAAAAGGTTCAGATTTCCACAGACACAGACATTAGAGAAGCAAAGTAGACCAAGATATTTTATACATACTTCAGAAAAAACTATCAGCTTTGGTTAAGTACGGTTCAGAGTATCTGAATGCTTAGCAAATTAAGAGATGCAAAAGTAGCTACATATTTTACGGCTGTCCCTGAGCTCCTCTGCCAACCTACATATCTGAACTTTTGTCTTTTTTTCTTTTTCTTAAAAATAAAAGCAAATAGAACTACTACTGCTACTACTACCAGTGCCTTTCTTCCCCCACTTCAGTTTCCAACAGAGCAGGAACCAAAAGAAAAGTATATAACTTCGGTCCTAAGTTAGCCCTCAGCTGAACAACACAGCGGCATTGCAAGATACCAGTGCTAATACAGTGAACTAACTTTCTTGAATAATGAAACACCTACACCACTTAAGTAGTTCACAAGCTTCACTAACCTGCTTCTCTTCTGATTGTTTTTATTGATTTGTGATTATATAGAATATCTAAACTGGTTTTAGCACAACATGGACTCTGTTAAGACAGATTATTAGCAGTTATAACTATTGACAGAGCAAATTTCCCCTTTGGAATGATTTACATCCATTCCTTGCCCAGAACCGAGATGTCAAAGATCAGATTAAAATGCTGAAATATGACTGGTAATAACCAATTTCAGAACCTTAATGTAGCTCAGAACAAAAGAATATCCGTTATACATACTGCAAGCATACTGCTTTGATTGTAAACACTGCATTAACTTTCCATGACACATGCACTCACTCCATTATTTTCTTAATTTTATGTCCAAATAATGTTCTCTTTAACATATATACCTTACTTGCTCTTGAATGCAAATCACAAATCACTCCATTAATTAGTTATGGAATAAAAATTTAGTCCTAGATATATTGTACTAATACACACTACAATTTCTGTAACAGAAGAAACTGACAGTAGGGCTGCAGCAGACAAGCATCCACCTTCCCGACTTCAGCTAAGTGTGGAGCTTTGCATCAGAGACAGCTGCTGTGAACAATCCTAACAATAATGTAGAGAAACCACCAGTTGCAAAGGGGGACTCAATCCCCAGTTATCTAGCTGTATCCCAAAAAGGTACCTGAGGTGACTATCTGAAATGCAGTCATGAGAAGTGTCCTGGGTTCAGCAGTAGCAGTCATTTTTCTCCTTCTTAGTAGCTGGTGCAGTGCTGTGGTTTTGACTTTCAGCCTGGGAACAGCGCTGATAACACCAATGTTTTTAGTTGTTGCTAAATCATTTACTCTGACCAAGGACTTTGTGAGTCTCATACTCTGTCAAGGAGGAGGTGAAGCCAGGAGGAAGCAGAGACAGGACACCTGACCCAAGCTGACCAAAGAGGTATTCCACACCACAGTTTTAAACCACGACAAGAAGTTAAATGAAACTAGCTTTAAAAAGCCCCTCCAATCAAGAACTTTGTGAGTCTCATGCTCTGCCAGGGAGGAGGGGAAGCTGGGAGGAAGCAGAGACAGGACCAGAGACAGGAGGAAGCAGAGACAGACCTGACCCAAACCAGCCAAAGGTGTATTCCATACCACAGCATGTCATGCCCAGTATATAAACTGGGGGGGAGTTACCTGGAAGGCCCAGATCGCTGCTCAGGTTGGGCTGGGTATCAGTCGTGGGTGGTGAGCGCTTGTATTCTCTCCCCTTGTTATTTCCGTTAAAATTACTTATCGTAGCAGTAGTGGTTTGTGTTAATACCTTATTTACTGGACTGCTCTTATCTCAACCCATGGGAGTTACATTCTTTTGATTTTCCTCCCCACCCCTCCAGGAGCAGGAGGAGGAAGAAGGGGGGGAGCGAGCGAGCGACTGTGTGGTTCCGAGTTACCAGCTGGGCTTAAACCAAGACACTCTAAAACATGACACACATAGCACATAAACAACCTCAGAAAAAAAAGGCCAAGTGCTTTTAAAAACTCCTACTTGCATTGCTTCAGACTAAGCAGCTATGGGAAAAAAAATTATATATATATATATAATTTTACCTACAAATCCCAACAAAACTCTTTTGAAGGGATCTGACACAGGAACAGTAGGTCTCTGGAAGTTATCACTAGAACAGATGTTTACATCTGACACTAAGAAGCTACTTTACTTTTCACCTGTATTTATTTTCATTTTTTTAAAAACCCTATCTTACTGACCACTTTTAAGTTTTACTCTTATGATCTTGTAATACTATAATCTCCTGAGCTAGGAGATACCTGGAAAAAAGAAAAAAAGATTCTACCACTGGTGTAAGATTCAGCCCTGTCATACCTACAGTACTAAAATTTTTCTCAAAAGGAGGACTGTGAGATTCATAAGGGAGAAGGAGTGTAGTGGTTATTTATACTGTTTATACAACGGAAACACAAGAATTTTTCAACAGCTTTTTATACAATCCTTCTCTTTCTATATAAATTTCTACTTTGATAATAGCTTTGTGCTACACTTCCAGCTTCTCTTTATATATTATTCTCTAGGAAAGCCAATCTAACCATTATTGTCTACTCCCAGCATCAGTCTACAGGCAAGAAAACTATTAGAAAAATTACAAGACATAAAGCTAAGACAAATCACACACAGAGCAGGTGAAGGCAAGGCACTATTAAAAGAAAATACCCTTTTAAACAATATTGAATAGGGATAACAGATGCCTTTTCATGTGTTACTATGCAACGTTATAGATAGGTCTTACACAGAGCTAACTCCCTTTTTAACAAAACATACATGTTCACAAAACTAACACAGAAAAAAAATAAATCAGTACTTACAACAGGGTTTTTTGTGTCTGGGTCAAATTCTGTAGAATTAGCATCTGAAACACGTTCAAGACAAACAGTATATTTCCATTGTTATACATGCAATACAAATGCATCATAACAGTTCTGTGGCATTTCATTGTCTGCATTTAAGCTACCATCTTATATGTTTAAACTCACACTGTACCACTTTCGAGCAATCACAGGAAGCATATGACCTCTGTCATACACACTGCCTTTCCTACTTCCCGTAACTTTTTCCTCCCAGCTGTCAGTTGCAGAAGTTATTTGGTGAGCTAAATCTCTTCATACTTCTACTGCAATAGCTATGGTTTGACTACTCAAACTAATAAAAGCAAGTGAGAAAACCACTTCTCACTTCTACTCTTCACCACCTGAACACTCCAGAACGAGACTACAGAGGCAGACTATAAGAACACTTTCTCTTACACTTGCTAGATCAAGAAGCAGGTTTCAAGCAACCTGCATAAGAAGAGTTCCTATCCCCTTGTACAGAAAGTTAGCACAGGGTGCTGAGCTGAAAATGATCATGTTGAAGAGCTAAGTACCTAATGATGATAGGATTTGTACAATAGTTCTAATAGTAAATATACACTTCACATACAGAATAAAATTTCTTCTAAGCAAATCATATTCACACAAGCATACCGAGCTCACCTTCCCAATTCAAACAGTTTCTTGCAAATTCCACAACTGCTAATTGCATTCCCAGACAAACTCCTAGAAGAGGAAACAAAGTCCCCAGAATTTAACAGGGCAAAGAGCAGGACTGAAAGTATTTCCTATTCTGTCTTAAAGTTGACTGCTTAGAAATCTTGGTACCCAGTGTATATACACAGACTTAACAACAAGCTAAACCAAAATGACTGCTCAATGCAAAAAACTCTTTAAATTTGGCACACTGATAAATAAATGTGACACAGTTAAGTGCTTTAAGCCTTTTCAAATATTTTTTTTTCCTCCCATCTATTTTACCAGTAATTACTGTAAAGACACACAGAAGCTGAAATCCTGGGTATATCCAGATACAAATTTTGCTTTGGCAACTAGACCAAGTAGTCACTTAAAAAATGTTAAGAAATGTGGACTAGGGACCAAAGCTTCAGAGGCGCTTACACAAACAGCACTTAGCTTATAGGCTAGATGGCATCTTTAGACTTTACCATAATAAAACATACCATAAAGCAAGAAAAATTATTTAATATAGCAAATGTGTCCAAAGACACCTACATTTTCTGCACGTTGATTAGTATCTATAATGATGCTGATTAAATTACGAGATACAAAGACTCTCCACATAAATGTGAATATAGCAAATAAAACCTCTGAAGCAGGGACAGTCTTTTTATTCCTTCCTTTATATAGCAAATATAGTACATGACTATAACCCTGGGCATTATCTACAAGGCAAATATTCACAACAGCACACATACTGCCTAAGACAGGATCCTTCCACAGAGTGTTGTTTTCTTTTTAATCAGATCAATTAGCTTGCTATACACTCCCAAAACACAACAATTTCTGACTCTTAATGATCTTACCAAGAAAGGGTTTTTTCTTTGTTCTTGCCCAGGAAATAGCCTGGAGTTTGCCTTCTGTTCCCCTAATTCCAAACCCTCCTGGGACCAGAATGCCACTGGAATGACACCAATATATAATGCAACCAACATGTAGAATCCAGCCAGCAAAGGAAGTCCATACAAATTGAAGACTTTTGAAATTATACCAAAACAAGCACAAGGCACAAAAGGCATTTTATATGACCATTCAGAATACACAGAATTTAACTCACAATTTGGAGATTTGTCTCATCTACCCACCCCAATTCTCCTCTGAGCCTCATGCTTCACAGGGAAACTCCCACTGCTTAAATACCTATTGTTTAAATAAACTTGCTACATTTTCACTACTTTATCTTGACACCAAAACTTAATGTCTACTAAATAACACTGAAAAAATTAAATGCACTTTGACAACAAACAATGCAAACTGAAATCCTGGCAATGATTCTTAACAGATGTCCTGGCCCTCTACTCTGCTCTCATGAGACCTCACCTGGAGTATTGTGTGCAGTTCTGGTGTCCTCAACATAAAAAGGACATGGAACTGTTGGAACAAGTCCAGAGGAGGGCCACGAGGATGATCAGGGGACTGGAGCACCTCCCGTATGAAGATAGGCTGAGAAAGTTGGGGCTGTTCAGCCTGGAGAAGAGAAGGCTGTGCGGAGACCTCATAGCAGCCTTCCAGTATCTGAAGGGGGGCTATAGGGATGCTGGGGAGGGACTCATCATTAGGGACTGTAGTGACAGGAGAAGGAGTAATGGATTCAAACTTGAACATGGGAAGTTTAGATTGGATATAAGGAAGAAGTTTTTTACTGTGAGGGTGGTGAGGCACTGGAATGGGTTGCCCAGGAAAGTTGTGAATGCTCCATCCCTGGTGGTGTTCAAGGCCAGGTTGGACGAAGACTTGGATGGCATGGTTTAGTGTGAGGTGTTCCTGCCCATGGCAGGGGGGTTGGAACTGGGTGATCTTAAGGTCCTTTCCAGCCCTAACTATTCTATGATTCTATGTTTGAAGAGTGTTACCAGCATTTACTAAGATTTTATTTAACTACCTTTCACTATGATGCATGTTGACAAAGACAAATCTGTGGCAATTGACCTGCACTGTGAAGAAAATCTAGCTATCAAAAACAAAGAATCAACAAAAAAAAACCAAGCAAACAACTGAAACTTCTCTAAGAAGATTAAAAGCAGATGCTAAGGTTGATACTATAATTTGCTATGTCTGAAGCTTGTCACTAACCATGCACATCTATCACTTTATGTAAGTAACCGAAGTTTGGATGCACTGAAACTTATTTACTGAAGCATTTTTCATCACAGGAAATAATTATCATTTGCATTTGGGATACAGAATACCCAATACTACTTACTCTGCCTTGCACAGTTTGTGCCATGCCTGGTGATATTTCACCGAGTTCTCCACTTCTGTAGAATGTTCAAGTTCTGTTGAATCTATGTACTAATAAAAAAAAAAACATGCAATAAAACAGGCTTTTCTTCCACTGAGAGCAACTTTTTAAACGCATTAAGACAACCTAATATTTTCAAGTGAATTTCCAAGCTTGCCATCTCTGGAACAAACTCAACAATGGAAAATGATAATTCTACCAGCAAGAAAGGTGGTAAGCTTTTCCCACATGTAGTTCAACTTTCTGTTCTTATTAATAAGAGGCAAACTACATCCCTAAATAGTTCTGTATTTGAGGAATTACTAGGTTTATGGCTCAATTCTGATAACAGAATTCTGCTAAAAATAAAATGGATAGCTCTCAGAATATTAAACGAAATAAAGAGCAACAGCTTCTGGCACAGGATTTTAAAAACAAACTAAACTGCTTTCAGTTTACCTGCTTTCTTCTGCCTTTAAGCTAATCTTACTAACATGATAAGCAGTCTCGTGAGCAAAACCTACCTCTGATGTAAAGAGAAATGTGCAGGTAAACCCTGCTTTTTCATCAGATCCACTTTTGGGTACTGCATTATTCCTTTCAAGTATGTTTAGATCCAAATAAAATTACTAAATCTGTACACACTTCTTGAAAAAATGGGATCTTTGGCCAGTTAGTATTTATCTGCATGATGCATCTCCTAATTTCCACATGAATTAAAACTGCCTCCCATGATGTATAGTAGAGTATATTCAAAGTATCCCTGAAAGCAAAATCCAAAAATATCCTCACCATTAAATCCAGTTTGTGATTAATTGCCAGTGCGGAGTGCTCCAGAGCCTTGAAAACAGATGCATAGCAATCACTTAGTTTTGTGTACTTGCCAACGAGAGCTATGGAACATACCTTCAGCAACCTTTCATATCTGACAAAAACAAGTTTTTTTGTTATTAGACTGATTTTCACAAAGAAAACATTTTAACAATGTTTGCTTTAACTTCACAAGTCATCAACTAAAAATCTCAAAACTGACAGTTTTTAAACCCAGACCATTCACAGCTGTTGATCAGCAACATGCTACTGTCCCCCGACGAGTTTGGTGACTTCACAGGACCTACAATCCTAACTTGCATTAAAATACTTCTAGAAAAAGCAGCAGGAATTAGGATACCTGTCAGCCATTTTCTTCCATCTCATTAGAAGATCACTTGGATGGTCATCAATAGGCAAATTTAACCTCTGTTTAAAATACTTAATTATGCCTTGCTCCTCCAGCAGGATTGGTACTCGGTAAGTGGAAGATACATCATGGACAAATATCACCTAACAAAAAAAGAGACTTAGCTAATAATTTTTCATAGGAAATATAACATTCTATATTTTTGTATACTAAATGCTGAGCTTCTACCCTAAAAGACAAGAAATTTAGAAACAAAACACCATCATGAAGACAGCCCCCTTCCTGCCAGGGAACTCTTCAGGGAAGTTCAGGGGCACACTGGACTTAGTCCAGTCACATAACTGCAGTTGGAATCTAACTGTGCACATGATTACACACAGCCTGATACTGACAGGAAAGCACACAGCATTGTTGTTTGACTGAACTTCCATCTGTCTGTCTCTGGGTGGAGAACCATAAAGGCATTTCTGAAGGATTTCCAGAAACTAGCTCAAGGGAGCTGTACACTTCTACAGATAGTAAGATGGAAGGAAGAGTGGTGGCGGGAGTAATAGGCCCCTGCCCTCTACATGCTCATCTGGAATCTTACTATAAAAAGGTTTTTCTTACACACCTGCAGAAAGACAGGTCAACATGGACACATATTTGAAACAAAGCGTAACTGTTGGCATCTGTTATCCCTTTTATATTACCCATTACATTGAAGAGTAAAATGCTCTCACTCGCATAAATATTAAGGAGCATTTATCAGAATTAGTATTTGAACAGAAATTAATCACAAACTAGTAATGCAAAAATCACACATTAATTATAAAAATATACAGAACTACACGGAGATGTTCCAAGCATGTTAAAGGGCATGAACAGCCTATTAAATATTATCACAGTAAGATACTTCATGTGTCTGTGATGATCTAGGGACATAAGCAACCCCCTAGCTTTACCCACACTTTGTTCATCCATTACTATAACCACCTGAGATGATTTAAGGACAATAACCAACCATAGCTTCAGAAGTGCACAGTTTTCACAACTATGTATAGGAATTAGCCATGTGCTCAAAATCTATTCCTTTTATTAACTGTTCACTTAACATCCACTCAAATTGTTAATAATTATTTGACATAGAATCTAACATATAAACTCCCAATACTTTTGAAGTGTTATAGAGCACATAACAGCAAGATAAAAATTGTAAGCAATATAGAATCATAGAATAGTTAGGGTTGGAAAGGACCTTAAGATCATCTAGAATCAGTCTAAAGTTAAAAACAGAAACACACAGAAATACTTGGATGCTTTCCCACATACTTAAATAATGATGAATAAAATATTAAAGTACTGACCTGCTCAGGCTCCACATGGCAAAACATGGAAATCTTTTCCTTCACTGCCATTTCTATAGGTTTTGCACTTCTACAGACAATCTGTCATAACAGAAGGTAAAGACTTGAGCATTTACTAGGCAAACCAACAGAACACTCAATACTATTCATGGAGAAATTAACTCCTTTGGAGGCACAGAACAAATTTATGTGCTTTTTTTATTTCTTCTTCTCTTTTGGAGTTTCACAACATATCATAGCTCACCAATACCTGCGAGCAAGGCAGAAGTAAATCAGTCACCTGCACATACTGACCCACTTTTATGAATCTTTGGTATTCCCTGTAGTACTGCTTCCGCATCTTCTCCCTTCTTGCATTACTGTTGTAATACTTTCTACCTAAAGTCTAGCAGCTCTACAAGTACAAATAATATGATCAATCAAAAGAACTGATAAATTTTGAGCAACAATACTTAGCTTACATGCATGTTCTCCAGTATTTCAATACTTCAGCACCTTTTTGTAGTTTCTAATTTGTATATCATGAAAAAAAAGAAGGCTAAAGATGAGAAAACTATTTCACTTTTTTTTTTTTGGAGGGGGGGAGAGGGGTAGGGTGTTCCTGGTGTTACTCTTCTGCTAAAGAATTTTAAGAATTTTAGAAAATATTGGCAACTTTTACCAATAAACAAACATGTGATTTGGTGTTTGTTGGAAGGTGTTATTTTGCATTATGTAACTTCAGACAAACGCAGAACTGCTCTATCAGTGTGCTTATTGATTATTCAAGTCTACTACATGAAGCTATTTTGAATCCTAAAAGCGTAATGGAAAGTAGGATGATCCTGATTCACTCATTATTTTCCCCATCTGTCCAGCCAATGCAACTACTTAGTGCATTAAGCCCTTTTTTGTTCAGAAACTCGTAGCTGATCTTTGATTGTCTTGCCAGAGTGCAGCTTAGTTACACTAATACTGACAAAATCAAATTAATTTCCCCTACCCTTGCAAGAAATTCCAGAAACAGAAAACCAGTGGCAAGTATAAGGGAAAACCAGTGCACATTTTTATAATCATAAAATAATTATGAAATAATTTGCACATTCTATTCAATTAAGCACAACTTATACTTAAAAACTGGATACTGGTTGAAGATACAAATCTTCAAACAGTAGTAATATATAATTGGTAATATGAGCATATAATTAAATCCACTTTGAAATCTATCATCCATCTTGCCGAGACAAATTTAAAGTTAATGCAGTCACAGAGAATTGGTTACAGTGGCAGAGACAGATCTCAAAGAAACAAAGATGTGTGACAATCCAGTTGAATAGGGCAGCACCGACAAGTGTATAATCAGTCTTCAAAACACTGTTACAGTGCCCACTGTATCTGTGGATACAGCAGTTTTCATTAAGCACTTAGAACACCCCACAGAAAACAGAAAAGCTCCTGTAGGTGCACAGCTAAGGCTGGCCCAGCATGCCACCTCAAGGAAGCCCGGGCCCAGGCAGGGAGGCAGCAGGTATTAAGAACAGGTCTAGCTAAGTTTAGATCAGGCAGCCTGGCAGCACAGCTTATGAAGGAAGCCCTCCTGCCTGCTGTTCTAAGATCTTCCCCATGTGCTGCTTTGGCCCTGGGCCCCTGCCCAAGACAGCAACCATTTAAAGATTTTCTTGAAGCAGTGCCCAAGCAACTTCATAGCGGTGCCAAAAAGCTGTGCTCAGAGTTTAATCTCTCAGCGCTTTAGTGGTCACCAGCAGCCTCAGGCAAGAACTGAAGATGCGATAAAGTGACTAGATCAGCCTGTTTTTCTTTTATTACACACACCTAGCAGGCTTTTAAAAATTAATTTGAAGGGCAGGGAGGGAGTCAGGCACTGGAATTATCTTAAAGGCTTTAAAAATCACAGGCAACTTTCCATACGCAAATAGCACCTGAAGAGGGATTTCAAAATTTAGCGCCTGAAGCTTGGAATATAGAGCAGCACTGCACTACACAAGCTGACCACAGTTGCCACATCACAACAATCTGAAGCTACCCAAGACATCCTTTCACATATCCTACTTATAAAGCCTATTGTCCTGGGTTCAGCAGTAGCAGTCGTTTTTCCCCTCCTTGGTAGCTGGTGCAGTACCGAGTTTTGACTTTCGGCCTGGGAACACAGCTGATAACAATGTTGTTTTGCATTGGCCAAGGACTTTGTGAGCCTCATGCTCTGCCAGGGAGGAGGGGAAGCTGGGAGGAAGCAGAGACAAGACACCTGACCCAAGCTAGCCAAAGAGGTATTCCATACCACAGCACGTCATTCCCAGGATGTAACCGGGAGTTAGCCGGAAGGGCTGATGGACTGCAGGGTTGGAGGAGGTATCGGTCGGTGCTTGGTGGGGCTGGGGGGGCAAGTTATCGGTCAGCTGGTGGTGAGGTGTTGTATTCTCTTCCCTTGTTATTTCCTTTATCATTGTTATTATTGGTGGTAGCAGTAGTGATTTGTGTTATACCTTAGTTAATAAACTGTTCTTATCCCAACCCGTGGGAGTTGCATTCTTTTCAATTCTCTTCTCTGTCCCTTCGGGAGTAGGGGGAGGGCAAGAAAAGGGAGGGGACAGTGAGTGAAGGAGCTCTGTCTGGTTTTAAACCACAACACCTATATAAGCTAAGGATATATTGTATGTACACATTGTATGATATATTGTATGTACACATATCCTACTTATATTGTAGTTATAAGCATGCTTTTTTGATAAACCTGAAATGCAAGAATAAAAAAAAAATAATCAGAAAGCACAGCACAAAATGTAACTGTGTGACTATTCTTTTAAGAGTAAGCTTTCTTCTTTGAAGATATATAGAACCAGTAACCATTCTCACTCCTCTTTCATTTCTTAGGTGTCCTGGGTTTAGCAGTAGCAGTTATTTTTCTCCTTCACAGTAGCTGGTGCAGTGCTGTGGTTTTGACTTTCAGTCTGGGAACAGCGTTGATAACACCGATGGTTTTAGTTGCTGGTCAGAATGTTTACTCTGACCAAGGACTTTCTGAATCTCATGATCTGCCAGGGAGGAGGGGAAGCCTGGGGGAAGCAGAGACAGGACACCTGAGCCAAACTAGCCAAAGAGATATTCCATACCACAGCATGTCATGCCCAGGATGTACAACTGGGGGCAGTTACCCAGAAGGGCTAGATCACTGCTCGGTCGGGCTGGGTATCAGTCGGCGGGTGGTGAGCAGTTGTATTCTCTTCCTTCGTTATCTTCCTTATCATTATTATTATTGGTGGTAGCAGCAGTGGTTTTGTGTTATACCTTAGTTACTGGACTGCTCTTATCTCAACCCGTGGGAGTTACATTCTTCGATTCTCCTCCCCATCCCTCCAGGAGTGGGGGGACGAAGTGGGGGAGTGAGTGAGGGCAGCATGGCTGAGTTTCCAACTGGGCTTAAGCCACAACAGAAGGGCTAGGAAGCTTTTTCTCCCTGCGGACTTTATGGGAATGGAAAAGGTTCAAGAACTTCCAGAATCAAGTAAGGAAAATATTCTTTGATGTAACAAACAGCCTCACACAAAAGAGCCAAATTGTCCTTTTCTGTTTCTCAAGCAGACCTAGAAATAGAGTGTGTTTTCAGCTGTACCAGCTGCAGCACAGGAAGACAGGAGCATAAGTTTGAACTGAGGTTTTACTGGCATTTAAAGCTGTGCTGCCCTGGCTTCACTGCTGTCAGCACTTAATCAAGCAGATTAACATCAGTGTCAGACACGTATCACAACAGGGAGCTGCATTCTAATTGTGTTTCCCCTTTGTTCCCAAGGAGAAGTACCAACAGGCAAAATCTGCATCCAGTGAATGATCACATACTCATTAACTAAAGCACTGGGGAGAAAAAACGGAAGGAGTTGGGTTTTTGATCATTTGCCAACTAGCATGAGGTGTAACTTGCTGGCTTTAGGTTCACTATAGTATGTGGTGCATGAAGGGATTGAGAGCAGCCTTGCCAAGAAGCATTTCGGGGTACTGGTGGATGAGAAGCTCAACATGATACGGCAGTGTGCGCTTGCAGCCCAGAAAGCTGCAATATGTTGGGCTGCACTTAAAGAAGTGTGAGCAGCATGTGAAGGGAGCGATTCTACCCCTCCACTCCACTCTGGAGAGACCTCACCCAGAATACTGTGTCTAGTTCTGGAGCCCTGAGCACAGGAATGAAGACATGGAGCTCTTACCAGCAAGTCCAGAGGACGCAACAAAAATCAGAGGGCTGGAGCACCTCTCCTGTGAGGAAAGGTTGAGTTGTGCTTGTCAGGCCTGAAGAAGAGAAGGCTCTGTAGAGACCTTAGTGGGACCTTCCAGTACTTAGAGGGTTTATGAAAAAAATTAGGATCAACTTTTTAGTAGGGCCTGTTGTGACAGGATAAGAGATAAAGGTTTTAAACTAAAAGGGGCAGATTCAGACTATATATAAGGAAGAATTTTTTCTATAGTGGGCATAATAAAACACTGCAACAGGTTGCCCAGAGAGGTGGCAGATGCCCCATCCCTGGAAACATTCAAATTAAGGTTGGGCGGGACTCTAAGCAACCTGATCTAGTTGAAGATATCCCTGATCACTGCAGTGAGTTGGACAAGATGACTTTAAAGGTCCCTCATAACTCAAATTATTCTACAATTCTATGACAGAAATTGAGGAACCTTACTTTGGAGATTTGCCTATATGTTTACATTTCCAAACAGGAATATTTTTTTAAAGGCTGTACTTCAAAGGTAGGATTGCTTCTTCTTAGCAATAGATGCATAAGAAGAAATTTGTGAGAGAACAGAGGCCAGAGGCATTCTAGGTCTTCCCACAAAGTGAACTGAGACTTTAGATTCTTTTTAGCAGTACAGAATGATTTCCTTGCAAAGAACTTCAGAAGAACAGAGCTACAGTCCCAAGATATCACAAGGAGTTAGTTGAATTAAGTTAACTTAAAGTGAATTCGAGTAATTTGATTTCCTGTGGCTTTAGTGAAGCAGTGAAGCATGTATTTTCTATTTCTTCTAAAATTCTTGTCTTTCATGGAACACTAAGGCTTATACTTTGAAGACACGTTACACAAGGACACTTCTAGATGACCTGTAAATAAAAATCTGCATTTATTGACTCACCAGATCCGGAGACAAGCCTAGACCCCTCAGTGCTCGAACACTGTTCTGTGTTGGTTTTGTCTTCTGTTCACCAGTGGCATTAGGCTGGAAAGACGTATTTTGAAAGCTCAGATGGCAAAGCAGTTACAAGGTAAAAAGAGAAAAGCCACTGCAAATAATAATACTTGAAGGAAGTAAACATATCCAAACAGAGCCACAATAAGGCAGAAACAGAAATGGCAACACTGTTATATAAGAAATTCTGAAGAACTCACAAGGCCCTAGTTGAGGTCACGTTTATTTTGGGGTTTTATGTTTGGTTTTGGTTAGGGTTTTGGGTTTTGTTTTTTTCTTCAGAGAAAAAGTTTCAGTGCAACTGACTCAGGTGGTAGAAAAGGAATATTCCACAAGTTGGATTTTGCTAATAAACAGAGAAGGCCCAACACAGCACATGGCCTTCAGTAACTGTTCTTGAATATTATCAGAGGTAGTAAGAAATTCTATTTTCAAATACACAGAATCAATCCTACCAATAACTGACCAATCCTCCAATCTAAAGCTGTGGTGGCTAATAATTCTCTCTGTATCCGTACTAGGTGCAATCATATCATCATTACCAGTATTTGCTTACCAAAATCTCCCCAGTGAATACTTATCTCTTAAAATAATAAGAAAACATATTTGTGAAGTAAAATTTAGAATGGAATGTTTGAATAGAAACATACTTTTGGCCCTGCACAAAAAGTTGCAGCAGCCTTGACCAGAAGACCATTGTACATCAAGGAGTCAGTGATCCACACCAGGGTTCCCTTACAGAAGACCACTGTGCTGCGCAAAACCCTTGGCTGCAGGACAAACTTAGCCAGCTCTTGTAACAGAGGAGCCAGCAGGCAGCTCCCACTCAAGATCTGCAATTCCATTACCTGTGTGGCCTTCTCTTTATCTAGGAATGCAGCAAAACGTTCTCCAGAAAGGATGTTTGTTCTGTCAAACATCCTTTCTGTTTGACAATAAAGATGATACAGTTGTTTCCTTGTAATGAAATTATCTATTAGCCCAAATGACCAAAAGGGGAGGATCTCTTCTACGGATGTGGTCTGCCCAGCACACTGCACGTCAGGGCCATTCAATGCTACACAGCCTGGGGCTCCCCTCACCTAAAGGGACATAAAGTAATTTATACCATTCTTTCCATATAGTGTTAGCTCTAAAAATTGAATTTTAAATGATACCTTAGAGAGTCTGAGGGCCTTTCTTACTGGGTTCATCATGTACCAGCACCTTCTCGTGCTAAGTATAACTATATTTAGCCTTCTAGATAAATCAGTGTTGATAACAAGGATTTTCAGTAACTCAGAATACTAAAACTAATTCTCACATCAATAAAGTGAATATCAAAGCCTTTATTTACTCCAGTGTGACTGGGTTTCATATTTGCGTGTCTAAAACCCTCAACCATGAAAGGGTTAATGGAAAAAGTAAACAATATGAAGCCCAATACACTTTAAAATCTATTTTATCAATTTTAATAACTTACCTGTGGTACTAGACTAACATGGATATTACAGAAATTCTCTTTTTTTGCTTTGAACTGAAACTGTCTAAATGCCTCAATGAATGGCATTCCTTCAATATCTCCAATAGTTCCACCAAGCTGAAAAAGAAAGCTTAGATATGTCAGTGTCGGAAAGCAAAAACAAACCAACCAAACTAAAGTCTACCTCTACCAAGTTTTCTGAAATATTTACCTTCAAAAAAAAAAAAAAAAGACAATTGAAACTTGCAGGCACACTCTGCAAAGAGCCCTGATCTATTCTGCATATTTGTTTCCTGTGGAAAACAGAACAATTTTCAAGTTTTTTTATATTCACTTTACATCAAACACATACGCTTCCCCTGGGAAGATGAGTGGTGCTACTGAATAATACATGCTTTGACGATGCCTTGGAAGTGGTAAACAAGTAATCAATAGTGAAGGATAAAAGCTTCCAAATAAGGCAGAAGCAAAGCAACATCTCCCTCTACGGGAGTCACCTGTATTACACCCCAGGCTCCTGGCAATCTCTGGCAGTTCTGTCCAGTGAGCCAGGTCAACTGTGAGGGCTGACAATGAGCAATGCTGACAGTATGAACCACAACTATTTCAAACTAAAGTTTTGGTTTTTTTGACAACTACTCAGAATATGTGCTTTTAAAGAGTTTACACACATTAAGGAGAAACCCAATGACTGCTGTTGTGTTTTACTTCGGGTTTGTTTTGGTTTTTTTTTCCCCCTAACAGGCTTTGCAATGATTGTGCTTACATCTGCTGCTTTGGATGGCATGCAACTAATTGTATAGGCAAAACACACAAAAACCCTTTATTTTCCTGTCTGTCAGATTAATGAACAGTTGTGAGCAACAAAATACAGGCATTTAGCGGTATTACCATAACTTTCCAACATTGATAAAAGCCATATGGACAACATGAAGTAATACCTGACATTATGCAAGACTTTCTATATTACCAAACCAACACCCAATACAAAGTCCCTGTTACAAAGACAGGAATTAGATGTCTTTCAAAGACACAAAGAGCTGAAGTAGACTAAGCACTGAATAAAGCAGTGTTTAGCACCTACGTCTTATGGAGTAGTCATATTTCATGACTGTTCTGTGCCATCAAGTGGCCTTTGACAGAATTGCACGTTTGTGCTCACCCAGTAGCAGAAAACTTCAGACTACATGACACACATACTCAGTCTAACTCCTTCAAGGTTTTGCAAAGGGAAAACTCTTAAGCAGCTTAGTTTCAGCAGTGTTCTAGAAGGGATTTAGTCAAGTAAACAGAAGCTGTAGGGATAAAGACTACACCTGTCATTTTCAGAACAAACCAAAGAAAATATAATGTGCCTTTGCATTGCTGCTCTCCATAAAACTTCAGTCTGACCTTTTTAGAGTAAGCAGCAAGGAGAAAACAAGCTAGCTGTTTTGTGTTCATTGTGAATATATATCCTAAAAGATTCTATACTTGCCTCAATTACACAAATTTGTGGTTCTTTTCTGTCATCATCCACTGGAACTTTTGCCTGATTCATTACCCATTCCTGAACGGCATCAGTGATGTGTGGAACAACTACAAGAAAAAAAAACAAAGCAAGCAAGCGTATCTTGAGACCCACATGCCAGATTTTGCATGCAAAAGGGGGAAAATAAGCAAAAATATCACAAGGAAACTAGTAGTTCCTTTTTCTATTTGTCTTTTCCTTGAGCCCAGAAGCCAAACATTACAGGAATATGCCCAAAACTCTTGGGAAAGAGAAAGGAATAAAGTGACGCAGCAGGGTATAGCTTGTTCTAGCTAATCGCTTCAGCAAAGACTGAACGGACAAGTATCCCACAGAATTAAGAATATCACCTTGAACGGTTTTCCCCAGGTAATCACCATGTCTTTCTTTATTAATGACATGCTGATATATTTTTCCAGTGGTGATATTGTTGTCTTTATAGAGACTGATGTCCAAAAATCTCTCATAATTTCCCAAATCTAAGTCAACTTCTCCACCATCATTCAATACAAAAACTTCACCTGAAAAAATAAAGAGAAAACCAACAGAAAAGCAGTAAAATAATGAGGAATTATTAAACACACAGCAGGAACACCACAAACTTCTCTTAAAATTTATGAAATATTTTTTAAAATGATGTATTACAACAACGTATCAATAAAGCACATGATGCAGCTCAATCTGCATTGTCATTCTGTGTGACCTGGATATTAAGTCTTTACTTTTAGTCTACCCCTCAGTCACATATAGTTTGCAAATAAGTTTAAATTACATTGCCAAAATATTTAAGTGACTTAAAACATTTAAGCAGCATTTTAACAGCATACTACAACCCCTGATTGGAAGAAAACAATCTCCAGGAATCATAAATCAACAACAAATAAAACAGCAATTTGCAAAACACTGCTTTTATAAGCATGAATTATTATGCATGTTCAAAGTGTTTCACTGTAAATTCTTGTTGGTTGGATCTATTTTAATGATTGTGGCTTGGACCAGGAGTAAAGTCAGGCTAAACATAAATGCTTCTTCAAGCATGACCACTGTTTCTTATTCAGTTGTTTCATCTTGTACATTTAGTACACTATGTCCACACCAAGCGTTCTGATCCTGAAAAATCTAACTAAAATATTCTTCGGGTTCAGATTTTTCGTAGACCTCTAAAGAGTCTCTAAATTCTAAATCTAATCAACTTCTGAAGGAACTAAAGTTGCTAGATCTTGATGTAAGGCTGGAAAGCTTTTCAGAAAAAAAAACAAAATATTTTGCCATGACTCAATAAACCAATGGTTAAACAAATTATGGAACCAGTGCACAAGGAGAAAAGAGTCCTCCTGAAAGGGTAGTGTGGACTACAGAAATATATCTTGCTAAGACACAACAGTCCAATGAAGAGTTTAACAAAAGCCACGAGGATGATCAGGGGACTGGAGCACCTCCCATGTGAAGACAGGCTGAGAAAGTTGGGGCTGTTCAGCCTGGAGAAGAGAAGGCTGCGCGGAGACCTCATAGCAACCTTCCAGTATCTGAAGGGGGGCTATAGAGATGCTGGGGAGGGACTCTTCATTAGGGACTGTAGTGACAGAACAAGGGGTAATGGGTTCAAACTTAAACATGGGAAGTTTAGATTGGATATAAGGAAGAAGTTCTTTATTGTGAGGATGGTGAGGCACTGGAATGGGTTGCCCAATGAAGCTGTGAATGTTCCATCCCTGGCGGTGTTCAAGGCCAGGTTGGACAGAGCCTTGGGTGACATGGTTTAGTCTGAGCTGTCCCTGCCCATGGCAGGGGGTTGGAACTAGATGACCTTAAGGTCCTTTCCAACCCTAATTATCCTATGATTCTGTGATTCCATGCTTACAAAAGGGTAGAAGACTTATCCCTGATCCTGAGAGGCACTGACTACGTTCTCTAATACTAAGTTATCATCTAAGCCAGACACAGAGTGGAACCAAGATTTCTCATATGTAGGCCTTGGAAGAACTAAAAAATATATTACTAAAAAACCTCTTATGTTAACCAGAAATCTCTAAATTAAAATCCTGTGACTCAATCATATTTCTGCCAAAATGTTAACAAAAGAAGCTTGCCATTTTGGCATGTGTGAATTTCTACTTACTATCCAGAAAGCTGATGTTTCTTCACAAACATTAAGAAACTCTTAAGTGAACAGAATGGGGGGGAATATCATGTGGGTATTACTTGCCCTAAAGTCCCCTCTTCCCCTGTACCTGATCTAATTAGTTAAATTTTGCTTTTGGGGAGAGGTCTGATGTGCTGTGCTCTTCCACTTAAAAAAGCAAAGTGGTCTTGTTTTAGTTGAGATATGTTTACCTCCAGTTTCAAAACTTTTGGACTAGACTAAAAGTAGGCAGAAAAAAATCTAACAAATAAAAAGAATTAGAAATGTCTATTGGCTGAAGGTACTTTGGAACTTTAAAACATCATTTTTAATAAATGTCTAAGTAACAAGCCAGAGAACTGAAGGAACAGGCAACATTACAAATATTGACAGACTGACCTGCTGCTCATCAGCAATGTAGTCAATACAATCAAGTTAGTTTAGAGAACTAACCAAACAAACTAATGGTATTATTAAGCTTCTCTGGTGGTTTTGACTAGATCCTTATAGATTTAGATGAGAACTTAATCTAACCCTCATGAAGACATTTACACTAGAAAGCGCTGACACCTGACACCCAGATAACAGCATTCATAAGTAACTGCTAACTACTTCAGTTTCAAATAAGTTTTATACCACTATTCTATTTTTTTTAATCAAGTTGAACTGAAAATAACTGAACAAGGCCTACAGCTAGGATTTTCCTAACAAAATGGGATTTTGTAGAAATGAAGCACCTACTTCCAAAAGTATTTTCAACAGATAATCTCTTTTTACTTAGAGCAGACAATGCTCTTGAGAACACATAGCAAGGAAGGAATTTGCATTGCAAAATAGAGTATAAAATTACTAACTACTACTGTTGTTTGTTTTTTTAAAGACACCATAAACACCACCCTACTAAGAATACAAATATTTATGCAAAACAGAACAGCACTGCTCTCCATACCATGTTCATACGGTGAAAAGGTTCCAGCATCTATGTTTATGTAAGGATCAATCTTGATTGCAGTGACACGCAGACCACATGATTTCAATATGGTGCCAATGCTGCTTGCAATGATCCCTTTGCCAATGCCTGAGATGACACCACCAGTTACCAGAATGTACTTCATCGGAAAATCAGCACAAGCACACAGATCTCAAGCTGAAAATCTAAAATGACAAAGACATACATCTGATGAATGCAAATTCATGTTAGGAAAGAACACAGTCTCAGTAAACAAAGAATCTAGGTTGAAATGACCTTTGGAAACAGACAACAAAAATTACCATTTTGGAATCTGGGAGCAGGATTCATCTCTCCCATCTTACAGTCCAATCCATAAGCATAAATCTACTCCATAGGCAATGGAAAACCAGATACCATTTTGATACATTGCCCCATGGATGTGCCAGAGAAACACAGTTCATCTGCCATATCCCTCTCCTGTGACAGGAAAAGCCACCTAAGTTTCAGAATCACATGTCAGGCAAGACAAATCTCACCCTGAATTTTTTTTCTAAAGCAGTTGATAACTTCACATTTTAAGAATTTAGCTCATTGCTACATTAGCCAGAACACTCACATGCTCTATCCAGTACCTTTACCTTTAAAAAGTGACTGTAGCTTCAAAAATTTATTAAAACTGGGCTATAGCATCCACCCCACTTTCCAGTAGCTTTCACTCCTCCAATTCATAGTGTATCAACTGTTTCACCCGAAGTCTTACAGTATCCTATAGATCAACAGAACATGAGACCAAGAAAGAAAAACTGAACCAGAATGTCTGTATTTATAATACCCTTAGAGTCCTTCCTTCACAGTCCTACCCATTCTCCCTCTCCGTGTAATTACTCTGAGAGAAAAAAAAGAATCACTTAGCATGTGTGGACTGCAATGCAGAGGAACAGTTAATGCTCTTCTAGAAAACAACATTTTATTCATTTTAAGTTTCACATTTAGAGAAAAGCCCATGACACTCATCATGCATTCAGAATAGCAGCCCTGGATAAAGCAGCTCTGAGACCTATAGCATGGCCAACTTGTCAGAGCCTCTGTTTCCCTGTCTAGACCATGAAATAAATTATTCTTCACAGGACGGAACTGTGAATACCCAACAAACCTCATACCCTAAAAAAAGAAACACAACAGTTAATGCCAATTATGTGTGGTGAAGCCTCAATCAGATACAATACCATTTTTCCCATCACTCTGGAATAGTACCAGCATTGGCAACAACAGCTATTCAAGTACAGAAACTTACTCTCTTGAAAATTTGGTTCTTTGTAAGAGACCTATAATGAAATAAGGGATTCAAATATCATACTAGATAAATCATATGACCGGGAGGAGAATAATGTAGTAGATGCTAATACACATATCCCACTTTGCACTGTGTAGGAGTATGAATAGTAAAGTATCCAGAACTATTAAGAAAAAGATGAAGAAACCACCCCCTAAACATTCTGATAATTACTATCCTAACTAGAAAGGTTTCTTCCTTGTTGCTATGATCTGCTGTTCGCACCAGCTTCTGTTGATGTTGTCCCTGCTGGTCGTCTCCTTCATCTGGCTTTCAGACAAGCCTAGATTTTGCCACCATTTTTCCACCCCATCTGAAACAGGATGATGTATCTCATTCATAGTCACATTCATATTACATTCAGGCAGCTGTGGAGGCTAATCAGTGGAGTAATTTTTCCATAGTGGCAGCATGGCTCACCAGAGCAAAACTTCTAAAGTCATGAAAATCTTTTCCTTACTCAAGCACTGAATTCATCCAAAGCAACATGCAAAAACACATGACCTAAGAGAACTCAGTATAAATCAACACAGCATGGTTTTCAGCTGCTGGCAGTAAGCAGCAGCTAGTGAATGCACTTTGTAAGCCTTCCTCTTACTATACTGAAGACAAGGCCTAGGTCCTCAGAGAGACTCCTCTTAGAGTTCAAGAATATAAAAATGTCATCAATGTCATCATTCTTGATAACAGGAACTACTAAATTATTGTTTCCTTGTTAACATGGACAAAAGGAAGACTACAGGCATCAAAAATATTTAACTGAGGAGAACAGGTTCAATCAGGAATTAACTTTCTCCTGCTATTTTAGTATTCAATTTATTTTAGTAGCCTAGAATTTTAAGAGAAGTTATTTCGACAACAGGTATAAACCTCGAGCACATGCTGCTTCAAAACTCATGAGCCCTATTACCTTGCTTAGAGGAACCACAATGAAGAGCCCGCTGTGATTTTAGCAAGAACAGCGACTTTCCAGCAGCTTAAGGAAATACATAGCTTACTTCCAATAGAAACAAAGGACTCCAGGTGGTTCGGGAAGCTACTTGTAAAAGGAGAATGAAAGAGTTAGGGGAGGGAAAGCAGAAAGCGAATACTGGGAAAAGACATTTTGTTGGTAACAGGAAATCAGCACAAGTGGAAAGGAACATTTACTCTGTTCTGCCCCAACAGAAACTTGCTGCCTTCAGCAGCAACTTGGAAGCGCTCCACCCGAAAACTGCTGCGCCACAGCAGGCTGCAGCCGGTCCCGGCAGAGGGGCTGCCCTCACCCGTCAGCGCCGGGTGGCCGTTACCTCGGGGCGGCCGTTACCTGAGGGCCAGGTGCGGGGCGTGAAGTGCCCTCAGAGGGCTGCCGCTGAGCAGAAGCCGGGCCGGGAGGCAGGCCGGCGGCGCAGAGGATCGCGGCAGGGCGGGGGAAGAGAGTGCCAATCTCCTCCCAGGCTCCTGTGAGTCACCGGACTGCGACTCGCCGCCCCGCGACACCTTTGCGGTCTTAAAGGCGGATGGCTGTCCCACCAAGATGAGGTGCGCCCGCTGCGTGGTAACCACTGCTGGATCACCGCCAGGGTCTGCCGAACTCAAGCGAACACCCGGAGGAGAAGCAGCACCTCTCCACAGAGGACGGCGAAACCCCACGACAGCAGCCCTTACCGGCCCCGCGCCGCACAGTAACCCCGTCAAGGCGGGGAAAGGCATCCGCGGGCGGAGGAGCAGAGCAGGCGGGCGTCAGCGCGAGAACCCAAGGCGAAACAGTGGCGCTTCCCCCTCCTCCCATGCCGGCTCCACCGCCCCGCCCCGCCCCGCCTTGTACACACACACACGCGGTGGCGGAAGTGGCGCATGCGGAAGGAGCGAGCCTCCTGCGCTTCCGCTTTCGGAGCTAGTAGCCCCTTGGAGCGTCGAGTGCCCGTTAACGGGCCAGTGCGACTGCCACTCCTCAGCCATGTTGCGGGGCCTGGGCAGCTGGCTGGGGCTGGAGCGGGCAGGCGAGGAGAAGCTGCTGCCAGCGGAGAAGAGGAGTAGCTCCGCGGAGGAGGAAGAAGAAGAAGAGGAGGAGGAGGAGGTGGTGGTGGTCGATAAGGAGGCGACTGTGCAGAGCTCGGAGCAGCTGGACTCGGAGGCGCTCCTCAGCCAGGCTAAGGGGCTCGGCAGTGAGTGTCCCATCCTTGTACGCTGGGGAGCGCAGGGGGGAGGTGGCCCAGCACCGCTAGCTCCGGGACACGCCCGCACCCAGCTGGGCAGCGCCCTGCGGGTGGAGAGTCCCCGAGACTGCAGCGGTGAGAAGTGGGGCTCCTTCCCCTCACACACGCGTCGCTGCTGGGGGCCTTGATCCAAAGAGAAAGCTTGAGTGAAAGAGTGGTCTCACTTGGAGAGGGATATCGTGCCCAGGCGTCTTTATGCGAGGAGTGCTGCTGTGGGTTTAGTTTAAAAAAGCTGTATATTCTCAGAAGTAAGGTCCTGCAGTGTGGTGAGAGTACTGTAGCAATTGGAAGAGGAAGGTAGGCCGGATTTATGTATGTTTACAAGTTAGAGGGGAAGTTACTAGTACTACTGGCATTTACACCAGAGCTTAAGCTGAGCTAGACAATTACAGATAGGTTTTCAGATGAGTTAAGCATGTTTCTCAATTCGACAAATAAAAAGGAAAATTGCTTTTCATCTAGATGGCAGCAACTCCAGTGGAGCTTGCACAGTGATGCAAAACAGAGAACACAAGTTTATGTGACCTAGAGACGTTGTTTTTTTATTTTTTAAATATCCCTGAAGCATATGTTTTAAGAGGTAAATGATAATTCAGGTTAGGTTAGGTAGTATGGAAAACTATCTTGGTGAAAAGTTTTATAAGTCATTGTTTGCTATCCTTTTTCTGTTTTTGTTTTTGCATATATTTGTTGTTCAGCTCCTTTAAAATCATGTCTGCTAAGTCCAGTCTGTGGTATGGATAACTACCGTGTATTTCACAAGATGGAGTTTTTCATGCAGCTTTGTAGTCTCTGCCACAGTTATGAAACAATCCTATGCAATTAATAAAGCTGGAAGTTTGGAAGTGACGCAATTCTCTAATTTCATCATTTTTCTGTATTTCAGAGATTTGTTTTAGTACTTACTGGCAATGAGAAATATTTTATTGCACACAATTCTGTGCATTGGTAAGGAATGTTGCCTCACTGCAGAGCAAAACACATTAAATAAACAAAACCCTTCAGTGTTTAAAATATGACCCAAGTAAATGACTGCAAATGTTCCTTTCAGTTATCATTTTTTTCAGAATTGTTACTAAATTAACATTTCCCATTGGGAGAAGTCATGCACATATAATGTACCTCACAAATTGCTGTGGGATTTCTGTGATTTTGTTCCTTTTATAGGAAAGGAATAGGGTTTGATTTTGTTGAATTCAGACAAATACTTGTCTGGTTATTGTAAAGCAATCCTAATATGGTAGTCACTGTTCAGGATGGAGAAAGGACTTTGAATTTAGAAGAAAAGTAAGTATTGACTGTTACACATAGAAAGGTCCAGACCATAATTTGCTCTGAAAGTGAGAATTTGGTTTAGTGATTCATTGACTATGACACTAGAGAAGATTGTGATGAAAAGGCTTTTTCATAAAGATTTGCACATCATTGTTTTAACACATGATAACTCTAGAAATATCTGCATGACTAACAACCAGTGTAGCTGTGTGGAGAGGTTCCCCTAGCACATAAAGAATTTTACTGGTAAAACTGAAGCCTTACGTACCTTTCCTTTTTTTTTTTTTTTTCTTTTTTCCTCCTCATTATTTTATTCTTACAAAGGTTAGGAGAGTTTGTCAGTGTGAACTAATACTAGATATATTGCTAGATACATGTTCTTAATATGGGCATAGATTTATAAGAGGGAGGGAAAGTTTCTTGGTCACTTGAAAGTGGAAATGTTGCTTACCACTAGTTCTATTTTTCTAAGGCAAAGTGGCAACTCTTATTGAAGTTTTAAAGTACTTTAGTTCAGAAGAAAATTTGCCCTTAATGGAAATAAAAAGCATTTTGTTTTTCTGACTGGTTCCAGGACTGGCCAAAACCACTTTGCCCAACAATATCAAAACGTTGATGGACAGCAAATGTTTCAGCACCTTTTGCACCTAAAACAATTGCGTATGAGAGTTTACAGGGATACAGAAAACAAGCAATACAAGCTGGTAGGAGGGAAACAGTTCAGTAGACTGCTGCTTCCTCTGCTATCATAAGGAGAATAGTATGTATCTATATAGAATGTGTCTATATCTAAAGTGCAGAAGAAAGGCGGGTATTTTTACCACATGAAGCATGTGATGGGTTGTAAAGCCTGCTAATGGTTATGAAAGATGCTAGCAAGTACTTGAAGGAAGTTTGGTTGCCACCTTTCTGTGGCTTATAACTAGAAATTACATATAAAAATAACTTTCTTAAGGGCTGGCTAGACCTCTGCATATTTCAGTATTTATATCAGAGGTGATATCATAATAAGAGAATATTTTATATGCCAGAAAGGTCAGGTTTCCAAAAGGTGACATGAATGATCTGAAGTAATTCATTCTACCTGTGGCTAACAGCTCATTTAATAACTCATCTTTTTGCATTTCAGGGTTATTTCTTACATTTCTAACCCATAAGGAAAGTGGAATCTTTGTGAGGTCTTGAGAAGGAAGTTGGGAGGTTTTGTTTGAAACAAATACTGGGGATTTTCTGAAGTCCCTTGTATAAAGGTCAAAGTAAAATTTGGGGAATAACTAAAACATTCTTATCATCTCATGTGCTTTTCATTCTTACCAATGCCTCAAATATTTTTTATAGTTACTGTGCAGTTTAGATCTACCATTACTACTTCTAACCATAGAATTGGAATAGAATAGTCTGTTTCTGTTGGAGTGGACCTAGATGGTCCCTTTCATCTAGGTCTCTTCCACAACTAGTCCAACTACCTGACTAATTCAGGGCTTACCAAAAGTTAAAGTGTGCTATTAAGGGCATTATCCAGATGCCTTTTAAACACTTGACAGGCTTGGGGCATTGACCACTTCCCTAGGAAGTCTGTTCCAGGGTTTCTTCACCCTCTCAACAAAGAAATGCTTCCTGATGTCCAGTCTAAACCTCCCTGGTGCAGCTTTGAACCATTCTTAAGTGTCCAAGCCCTGGATACCATGGCGAAGAGATCAACACATCTTTCTGCTTCCCCTCCTCAGGAAGCTGTAGGGAGCAATCAGAGGTCACCTCTCAGCCTCCTTTTCTCCAAACCAGACAACTCCAAAGTCTTCAGACATTCCTCATAGGACATTCCTTCCAGCCCTTAGCTAGCTTTCTTGCCCTCCTCTGAACACATTCAGGGACCTTCACATCCTTCTTAAGTCATGGGGCCCAGAACTGCACCCAGTAATCGAGGTGAGTCTACACATCTTGAGTACATCAGGATGAATGTATCAGGACAATCGCCTCTCTTGGCCAGCTACTTATACTGTGTGTAAAGCACCCCAGATGCAGTTTGCCCTCATGGCTGCCAGGGCACACTGCTGACTCAGATTAAGCGAGCTGTCAACCAGCACCCCCAGGTCCCTTTCTGCAGGACTCCTCTCCAGCCTCTCCCCATTTATACTTGTGTCTGGTATTACTCTGTTCCAGGTGCAGAATCCAGCATTTCAGCTTGTTAAAATTCATGCTGTTGATGATTGTCCAATGCTCCAATCTGTCTAGATCCATCTGCAGTTATTATATTTACAGTGGCACTTACCAATATTTTATCATTGTATGCACTGTAACTGTGATCTTAAGTCATAATACAACTGTTCAAATATAATAAAGTGCTTGTGACAGTGTCATTGCCTGAGGAAATAATACCAATGTTATTTTAAAATCCATTGTCAATAAACTGGTATTTAATGTTTCTGAAGGTTTGTAGTATACATCTTGCTGCCTGTAACTGCCTATGCCACATAGTTCTCTCCCTGCCACCTTTCTTTACTTCAGCACTGCTAATACAAAGAAATGCTGGTTAGTGTTTGGAAATACTTGTTACTGTTGTTCTGGCGCTGAATGTATTCAGAAGTAAGCCAACAGGGCAATAGTGCCTCTCAAGGAGACTAAAAAGAGGAAGATAATGCAAAATAGAAAAAGGGTAAACAACAGGAATAAACTTCTATCTTAAGACTTTTGAAGGAATCTCAAATTTTACTTGACTGAAATGTTTCAGGCATTTGTTGTCTTACTCCAGGAGACTTTATTGTGTATGTTGATTTTCTTAAAAAGACCAAAATAACCACCCTGTTTTAATACTACTGTTAAAGTTACTTTCCTGCTTAATGTCTCTGAAATACTTATATGAAATTAGGAAAGACACTTTCTTTTGCTTCAGAACATTTATTGGAAAGCAGTATTTCAGTGACCATTAATTTGGTAAACAAGATTCATGTGTAAAAGTTTGATTTACAGACAGTTGTGATCAAACATACAGTTTGATCATCATCACTAAAGAATATGAACTAAGAGGATAAATAGGATTTTAGGAGTTCTTTGGAGGTCAGAAGTGGTATTAAATGATTCTGAAAGCAGCTTTCAAGTAAGTGTCCAAATGATTAGAGAAAGGAAAATATATATAGTAAGAGAACAAGGGATTTTTTTTTCACCTTTCTCTTTCTTATTTTGAAAGGTTACCTCTTCAATTTTGCCACTGCTGCTACAAAAAAGATATCTGAATCCGTTGCTGAAACAGCACAGACGATAAAGAAGTCTGTAGAAGAAGGAAAAATAGATAGTATCATTGATAAGGTATTTTATTTCTAGACGTTTGATCTAAAATATGTTTTCTTACTGTTGTTATAACATGGCAAATCTGGCATGTGATAGCATTTCTTTAAGGCATCTCTTACTGGTGTTAAACTGAATGCTGTGTTGTTGAAGGAAAAAATAATTATAGCAATTTATCAGGCTTAACAACTTGTGTGCTTTTTGGCAACTTGTTAAGCCACAGACCTCACTGTATAAAATTTTGCATTTTGTGAGTTAAGTATTCATTTCTAGCTTCATGTTTTCTTTGCCTCTGCTTTCAACAGAACATTTGCACTGTTACTACTAGATTTTGGCATGCTGACTTCTGAGATAATTCTTCTATCTTTAATTCCAAATTCAATACAGGATGTTTCGGAACATAATTTTTTGGTGAAAACTTGTCATCAACAGAAATGGAGAAGTTATGTCAGCCAAGCAGACATTCTTTAAGTAATACTTAACAATTTTACAAGTCTCATTTATTCCAGTGGATATATTTTTTGAGCAACTCCTAAATTTTATTGTAAGGCAAAGAGTATCTTTAAACAGTCTGTGTTGTCCGTATTTGATACGGTAAGGCAGTAAGTATATAGCCATAGTATGCTAATGTTCAAATTATCAGCTAGGATTTTCCTCCAGTATTTTTGTGGTCCCCTGAACTTGATAGAACTCTAAATGTAATTTTGAAAGCGTACACAATAGTTTAAACTTTTAAAGGTAAAATCAAATGTTTATAAAAAGGGCCACCAGGGATATAAGAACATGATCCTGCAGTGTATTTGAAAGCACTTTCTGAGTGAACACGAAACAAAAGGAGTGAATTTTTTTATTTTTTTTTTTTTAATTGTGGTTCCATAATTTTTATTTCAGACAATTATTGGAGATTTTCAGAAGGAACAGAAAAAATTTGTCCAAGAGCAGCAAACAAAAAAATCAGGTATGATTTTTTGCATAAACATTGCTTACGCTAAAACTCGCTGGAAGCTGGATAATTAAGCTGTATCTAAACCTAATCTATCAAAACTCTGTTTAATGAAACACATTATGGCAGAACTTAAAGTATGTTATGGAATAGGAAGATGACATTTTTAAGTGAGGTTAGTGTTACATTATCTAGTTGTTTTAGATTTGCTTTTTTAACCAAATTCAGCTTTCTGAAATTAACTCAAATATCACTGTGCTAGCAAAGCTGATTTCTTATTGTTGTTTTGGATCTTAAGCCTGTGTATTTATTGAAAACAGGCATGCTGATTATTTCTCTTTTGAGCTTTAGCAATCATCACACTTTCATACTGAAATGAAAAACATGGGTTAGGGTTTGCACTATTGTAGTTAATTGTTTTGCTGTAGGTGTTTCTCTGCTTACAGTAAAAGCATAATTGCTTTTTTACATTTCCATAAATCATTTGCGTTATAATTATCTGTGATCTAAATCCTTTGAGTTATCCACCCATGTACTATTAACTGCAGTGGATCTATTTGAAACTTTAAAATAAGCACACTTTTTTTTTTTATGTTGCATTTCATCATTGGCTTTTATCTCCTTTAACATGCTACATGGATGCAGTGATTTCTTGCAATTTGAGTAATTAATGGCTCTACTGTTAATCTTGAAAATGAGCTGGTTTTAAATGGATTGTTCTAAAATTTTGCATACTGTCCACAATATTTTAGCTGGATTTCTTCCTGCAGGATTGTTTCTCTGACTGCACTTGTCTGTATTTCTGTCTTTTTGTCTCTGTTAGTAAACTTTGTCATCTGTTAATATGTTTCTGAAAGTTTTATGAAAATAGGTAGCTAGATTGACAAAAGAAGGACTAACAGATGGCTTACTGAAAGAAGCATTAGCATCAGATGGGAATCCATGTGTGTGAAAGATCTTGCTGATGTCAGATGCATAGCCAAATAAGCAGTGCTAGTTAAAGTGCGTAAGAATTAACTGTTACAGATGCATCATAATGTCTCTGTAGGCTGAATTTGCATTGACAGTGAAGAGATTAGTACATTTCTGTAGATCTACAGTAGTTTATTTTCCTCTGTATATAGCCTATAGAACTATTTTGGAAGTATCTGTGTAAACATATAAATCAGCTGACCTCAGGTATGCTTATGCAGTGTATTGCATGTATTATAACAAATTTATAACTTATTTTCTCCACCATTAAAGAATTGGTGTCTTCTGGGTGTTCAAAAATTAATACAATAGCAAATTATTTTTAAAACTTAATTTAGACAAAGTTAACACATTTAAAGTGAATCTAGATATTTCTGTTTGCAGGCAGCTTAACCAGTTTTACAGCACTACTTCAGTAACTAAGAGGTACCAAGTTGAGTGATGCACACTGCAAAGAAAATCCCACAGTTTTACAATAACAGAAATTGGCAATTATTTATATATTTAGTTAGTTAGGTAGTTTACCTCTGATAAGCAATAATTCATTCCTAGAGTTTCTCTCATGTCCCATGTGCTTAGTTTAGGAAAATGAAATGATGGCTTATTTTTGTTATGGTATATGTTACTTTAAGGCGGGTTTTGTTCAAGTAATACATATGCAATTATTTTCTTTCTTTCAATAACAGAAGCAGCAGTACCTCCCTGGGTAGACAGCAATGAAGAAGAGACAATACAGCAACAAATACTGGCCTTATCAGCAGTGAGTATTTCATTTCCTGTAAGATTTAAAGTTTTCCAAATGGAGAGGTTAAAACTTCCTCCCTTTTTATTTTATTTTTTTTATTTTTTGGCTGGCATTAGATTATGTATTTTCAGTGTCCTTTCTTAATGTGTCTGTCGCTGCACTGATCATGCAAGACTGAATAGTTCTTTCAGGATCAACTTGAGCCAAAGGAGATCCCCAGTATTACTGGGGTCAGTAATAAAGCCAATAACAAAAGCTTTGCAGCTTTGTGGTATGATAAAATTATGTGGAAACCAGGTTTCCATTGATGGTCTTGTGTGTGAAATATGTTATCCTTTTTCTGATACCAGTTAATGACCATAAATATATTCTTCAAAGGATAAACGAAATTTTCTGCGGGATCCTCCGGCAGGCGTGCAATTTAATTTTGACTTTGATCAAATGTACCCTGTTGCAATGGTGATGTTACAGGAAGATGAACTTCTCAATAGGATGAGGTTTGATCTCGTTCCCAAACAGTAAGTAATTTCTTCTGGTTACTATCATAGAATGATACAACAGTTGTGGTTGGAGAGGACCTTAAAGATCATCTAGTTCCAACCCCCCTGCCATAGGCAAGGACACCTTCCACTAGACTAGGTTGCTCAAAGCTTCATCCAGCCTGGCCTTGGAGACTTCCAGGGATGGAGCTTCTCTGGGCAACCTGTGGAGTCCCTCATCACCCTCACAGTAAAGAACTTCTTCCTAATATCTAATCTAGATCTACCTATGTTCAGTTTAAAGTCATTCCTCCTTATCCTATCGCTATATGCCTTGTAAAAAGTCCCTCCAGGTTTGTTGTAATTACTTTACTCTTTATTTACTGGAAGGCTGCTCTAAGGTCTCCCTGGAGTCTTCTCCAGGCTGAACAACCCAGCTGTCTCAGCCTGTCTTCAGAGAGGTGCTCCAGCCCTTACAACTATGTATCCTTATGCTTCTGATGTGTCTGTATATATTCATAAATTACTTCTTGTTATTTTCACTTCCTTCAATTCTTTATGTACTTCCTCTAGATCTAATTTAAAATGCATGAAATATTGCATGTGCATTGTGGTTTAGTAGTTGGAGGATAGAACACAAGTAGATCCATTACACATTCAAACTAATAAGGACCTGTTGACTTATGGATGGGAGAAGCCTTAATTTTTTTCTGTATTCAGTGTGGTAAATTAATTGAAAATCTTTTTCCCAAAACCATGGTAAATGCAGCTACAAAAGTGCTTAGATCTGTCTGTGTAACTGACACCCCAAAAAGGTTATTAGGGAGAGTCAGAGGCCCCCGGCAGAAATGGTAAAAGAATGCATCACAAAACACTAGCAGTGCAAGTAAGGAAAACTGGTTTTGAATAGGCAGCGGGAAAAGCTGTGTGTTGCAACTGCTGTCCTTCTAGTGGACCTAAGTAAAAGATCCACAAGGCTTTTGTCCCAGCAGTTACGGCCTGTTCCACTATGGCTTTTTGATCCCAGCTTCCTTCAAGTGCTGTTCTCCTTTCTGGTCCAGTTCCAGATGCTGCTCCTAAAGCTTGTTTCACAGGTCAACATTCTTGTTAAGTAGGAGTTCCTAACATTACTCTCCTTGTCTAAGGATGGAAACAGGAAAGAAAACATCTTCATGAGCTTTTCTGTCTTGTCTCCTCCTTTTATATAAAGCTTCCCAGCTTCTCATTTTATTTACCCCCTTCCCTGCTGTTGTTTTTCTACTGTCAGTCGTAAATATTCTAGGTCTTCATCATATCTGTCTCTGATGCTCTGTCTTCAGCCTCTGGTCATGTCCTTGCCTATTCTACATTGCTTAACAGGGTTTTTTCCCCTGTTCATAGTCTCAATAATCACTGTTTGCCTGAATGGACAGGAAGGTAACTTCACTCCCCACGTACTTTGACAAGAGAGATATTATGCTATGCTGTTTTTCCAGATTATGTATTGCAGCATGCTGTTAAGCTTTTGTAAAGTCATAACATTATTATATGTTTAAGTCAATTGTAACTGTCTTGTAAGAGATCAAACTTCTACAATGATAGATTTATTTTTTTTTAACTGTGTTAATATTACAAACTTCTTTTTAAAGTTTTTACTTAAATGGCACCTATGTCTACTTCGTCCCTCTGCAAATTTAATTTTATTTCATTGCTAGATGTTAAAAGGAACCGTATTTCCAAATGTAGTAATCAAAATTTGTTTGTTCTCTCTAGCGTAAAGGAGGAGGTGTTCTGGAGAAATTATTTCTACAGGGTGTCTCTAATTAAACAGTCTGCACAACTCACTGCACTTGCAGCTCAACAGCAAGCAGGAGGAAAAGAAGAGAACAAAGGCAGAGAAGAGGATAGTCAACTGAAAGGTATGGAAAGGATCTGTTTTAGGACAGCTCACTAAGTTAGTGTCAGGCATACTGATAGTGTACATCAGGTGACATTGAATTTTTATTCTGGATTTGTCACTAAATTGGGGCTTCCCTTGTCATACTCGGTGTGTTTGTGAGACTGGGGAAGAGGAGGCTCCTAGTGGTTTTAAACCATTTTGCGATTTCAGCCAACTTTGTCGAAGAGTGGAAATCTCAAGAGAGAAAATTTTGTACATGGCTTGTAGCAGCTCAAGACCCCTAGTGGTTTCTGGTGTGCTTTTTTTGACTTGTCAAAAAGTAGTAGGAGGTAACTGTTTCACCTAGTAAGACAACAGGTACTAGCCAACCCAGCCAGCTGGCACATGGTTTGCTCTTAGCTTTTGCTGAGACCTCAGGCCAAACAGAAGTTAATGAGTGATACGGGGGTAGAATTACTGTGGTGTTGGAGGCAGAGATGATTGCAGAACGTAGAAAGTTCCACAGTGTATTATAGAAGTGGAGGAAGATAGAGACCAGGAGGCAACTTGGGATTAAACCTTGAGATGGAAAAGCCACTTCAATGCAAGTGTCTTCAGTTACATTTATCAGTTTATACAGGTGATTTTTACTGACCCTCTTAAGAGCCACTTGGCATCTTGCCTGCATGTAAACAAATTCTGCAAGCAAGAGTACATGCAGCATAAAGAGTAGAAAGCAGTTACTGGCAAAGACACAAAAAGTAACTAGTAGCTTATTAAATCTTAGCTTAAGCTAGGTATGCTCACCACCCCTGGTTACACACCTGAAGGATCTTGGCAGGTTGGGTAGGCATTAGGCAGAAGGAGAAAGCCTTTGCTGCATCTTGGAACAGATTCTTGTATCCCTTACATCAAAAATCTGTCATCATCCATGAAATAGGTAATGCTTAAGTCCTGCTGGCGTGACTGACAACAAACTGATCACTATTAATTTCATTTTTTTTCCCCCTTTCAAATATATCTTTTCATATTGGTGTTTTTCTTCTTGAGGCAAGATCCCTATCTAGAATGAAAAAAGTAATATTCCAAGCAATGGTGGCAGGACAGATCACTCCAGAATCTACTGCAGACCAAGAAGCACCAATTCTGACTTCTTTTATCCAAAACAATTGTCTGCTGTCCCAATGGGCTTTATACAGTCACACATGGCAACATGTCCCCATGTTGAACAGCATGCTGTCAATCACAGAAACACTACTCATGCTATTTCAAGCTTTGTAAGCTTAAAAAACCATGGCCTCGTGATCGTATTACATGGAGCACAGAGATCTAGGCAAATGTCTGGCAAGTGACCACATGCCATGTGCACTTGAGAGGATGCTAACCTTTGAAGAGTAACTGTTGCCAACACACAGCAATGTGCTGTTGGGAGCAGGGTTCCCTCCCTGAGAAGGTTGAGAAAGACATCATACAGATAGCCCAAAATGACTTAGGTGTTTACTATAATGATGTAATTCTTTTGCTTATTGTACTTCAAAAGACTGCTTTAAGCAAAGGAGTACAAGACTTGTGTTTGGGGTTTTTCTTCTGTACCTTTAATTTAAAATATGTGCAGGTTTAAAAAAAAGTGAGAATTACATGATAGTGATTTTTCTTACTGTTCTCATAGTTTTGTAAGCATGTTCTTTTTCTCACCATAGAAACAGAAAAGTGATAGAGAAATTATGATACATGTGGAGAAACAACTAATGAGTTATGGAAGCTGAGACTTAATTTTTATCCCTCATTTTAAAGAGCTGCCCTTAAACGTCCTACATGAACTCTTTAGTCATAACAGAAAGCTTTTGTCTTTACTTTTCAGTGCAGACTGTATTTGGGCTCATTTCCTGCTTCCCTGGTCATGTCACTTGTACACTCCCACCATATTCAGCTCCCATTTTTGCCATTTTCTGTGAGCAAATTGCATTCACTCTTACCCTATACAGGTGGTATCAATTCAACAAATTGCTGGAATTCTCATAATTTCATAAACTTTTGCACTTAAATGGCATCTAAATGCATTTATCAAATTTTCTTTCCTTCTTGTATTTCTTCGCTTGTTTTGGGTTTTTTTTTTTAATTTTAATTTCTGTTCTCTGTTTTTTTTAATTACACCAACTGATAGGATTATATTATAGACTATTAGAAGTAGTGACTGTCTTCTCCTCTGGTGTCTCTAGTGCCTCACAATAGGTTTTTGAGTGTTGGATCCTTTCATTTAGTCCTTTGTATAGAGGAAATGGTTGCATTTGGAAAGATTAGAAACATAAATTCTGCCAGAAGTTACTTTCTTGACTGCTGTTTATAAGACTGAAGTCTGTTTGTTATTAGTTTGCTTCCCCTTTCCACTCAGCTTTTTATTTTATTTCTGTTTCTGCATATCGTCTCTTCAGTAAACCAATTTCAGAAAAGAAAAGCAAGCTGCCACTGTTGTGGCTGACTGGCAGGTCAAATCAAAGTTACTCTATCATTAATCACAGTGCTGAGGGATTCCTTTATGTAAGCTAAATATGTAATTAAATGGGCAGTATTAAACTGTAAGTTTCCTGAGCAGCATAATCTTGGTTCTCTTTTTTGTTTGGTTTATTTGTTTGGTTTTTGTTTGTTTGGGGTTTTTTGTTTGTCTTTGAACAGCACAGTGCTCACATTTGCTAAACTAGCTGCTTTACTTGAAGTGGCTCAACTCTACAGAAGAGATGGCAACTGACCCTATTGAATGACAAAACTGTTGTCTTTGAGTCAGCTAAACCCTTGGAAGATAAAGTTGCTGGATAATAGTAAAATTACCATTGTGACTGAAAACAAAACATACCTTCATCTAAATAAATAAAAAAAAAGCAGCACAATCTTTTGATCTCTTACAGATGTTATAAAATTCAGAAGACCAGTACAGAACATGCAGATAGACTTACTGTAATGGCAGAGAGACATTTACCAGACTGTAGTAAATGCATGTTTTCTTTGATTTGAAAATTGTATAGACTTGGGAAGCTCTGAATCATCAGTGTTATTTTTGATTTAAAGAACCTTTTTGAAGGTTCAGTTCTCTAACTGGGGGTTAACAAGTAATTGCCTGTTGGTAACTCTTCATAATGTTAAGAGCTTCTTCTTAAAGCTGACTGTCTATAAAATAGAATTAATTGCCTTCTATTTTTATCTGTCGCCTCCTTACCTGCTGTTTTCACAAAGTAAAATTAGTATGGTTGATGTGAAAGGAAAGAAGAAGGGACATATGGATCTTGGTGTAGAGACTATGTAAGATCTATAACAAAATGTGAAGTTTTAGGCCTTCTCCAGGTATTAGTAACTATTTATTTGGCAGTGGAGTTACCTCAGGGGCAAAGAGCACATCAGCAGTGGAGGAGACGATGCCAGGCCGGTAGATCCAGCACAGGACTAATGGTATGTTAGTCATATCAGACTGGTGCATGGCCCAGTGCAGAGCTGCGGTGCCACCTTTGCATGAGAGCAGCAGGTGGAGTTTGAAACACGTCTCTTTCACAGTGGTTTGGGCATTTGGTGCTGAACACCAAAGAGTACCATGTTCTACAGCCTCCTTGAACTACGAGTGCTGGAGTCTGTTTGTGGAGCTGGGTGCAGTAACAGGTCCTCTGAAGACTGGGAAGACAAAGGGAAGGAAGAGAGGGTAAAACAACAGTGGGCATTGAGTAGATGAGCTGTATAAGCAATGACACCTAGCAATTAAGGAGTTATTTTCGTTAGAACTGATCTCAATTCTAAAAATAAAACCTAAAAAAAAAAAAATAATGCCCCCTTCAGAAATTGGTAAGCAGGAAGGCTCCACCTGGACACACTGCAGTAAGCAAAGCTGCAAGCTCAGAGCAGCGTTGCATGTTTAAACAAATAGAACTGCTAAGCAAGCACTCCATCACTACCACAACCTTCCCTCTATGTTGATTGTTCTTGCAGCAACCTGGCTCTTTATTGTGACTCCTCTAACCTGCTAGTTGCATGAGGAAAAATGCTTCGGTGTTCCTTTACCTGCCAATAAAAAGATCTGTCTTTGCTTGTAAAGAATCATTGTCTTCCTGGCACCATGCTATTATATACAGAATGCATAGTGAGTTTTCTTAGGAAACTGGGATCCCCTTCTAGGTTTTGTGGGTTTTTTTTGGTGGCTTCTTTGACTATGTGAAAGAAGGTGAGGCTGAGGAACACTCTTCTTGTGTGCATTTAGGGGTCTGCATACAGACATAGTCTGGTATACCAAAGAGCACACTAGTGCTCATGTCAGTGGTAGTACCCAGCCAGGTCTACGTTTGTCACTTTGAAGATCTTGTGATGTGATGCAATCTTTAAGTGTTCTACCTGAAAGAAGGTATTCTTTGAGATTCCCAGCTGTTCCTATTTACCTAGTTCTCTGGATGGTTTTGAGGGGCAGGGGGTTCCTGTGATTTAACTCTAGAGTCGTAATGAGGAAACGGTTTGCTAAATTTGCCTTAATTAAGAATAGAAAATGGTTTTTCCTCCATTTTGTTGTTGCAAATGCTTTATCTATGGCTGAATCCAGCATTTAACCACAAGGATTCGTTAAAACTTAAAAATTTCTTGTACATTTAATAGGTATGCAGATTAAATTAGATCTTTAAATATTTAAATGTAATCTACCTTATTTTTCCCCCCCTTAATAGAAACAGTACGGCCAAAAACACCACCTGTTGCAATAAAGCCTCGAATAAAATCTCAAGAGGTAAATATGCTGTTATATTTTCTCCGATATTTAGTATGTGAAGCTGTTACTTATAGGTAACAGGGAGTTTGAGCAAGTTGTGCTATGAAGCCATAGTAATATAATATCTGACAGTCCTAACTTGCTGCTGTTCTGCTGTGATACTAATTTTTAGTGCATACACTTTAAACTCCTTTTCAAAGGAGGAAACAGTAGTTTATCTAAGCAATACTTTCAGTAGTATCCTGCACATTATAATAAGACATGTTTTCACTCTGAAGAGTGATCTTTCCAAAATATTTTGGGTAGGTTTGCACTGTATATTTAGACATGAGGAATGCCTTCATAAAAGTATAGTCATGATCCATGTTTGTCCAACTCTTCAGCAGTTGTCAGGCTTAAGTATAGGAAATCTAAACGATACAATGTAATAGCAACATTATTTTATTGTAATAGCAAGAAGAGTTTTGCTTGATACTTGAAAAACCTTTCAGTTAGATACATAATGACTTGTTCATTTCTGAGTTGTAAAATCGTGCCAGCAGACAGTCTTGGCAGAAGCAGAGCTCCACTTACAGGTAATATGCAGTGGACTAAATTAAGCTGGAAGGATTTACAAAGAACAATTCTCTCAAATTTACTTGTGTGTAGAGAACTGCACAAAATTGTAGTCAAAATTTAGTCATAGGTACTGTTTTATTATTGTTCCTGAAGATTACGGAAACAAAGGAGAACACAGCAGGAAGCCTAGAATGAAAAGCAGATAATTTTCAGTACAACTATCTAACATCTCCCTTTGTACAAAAATATTTTTACAACTATTTTTCTTTGTGGGCTATTTTTCTTTAAAAGTAATGCATTTGATTTGCTGTTTTTTGTTAACTATCTAAAAGACAGTCACGTAAATGGAAGTATGCACTGGTGGCATTTTCCCCCCCTTTTTGCATAAGCTTATACAAAAATGTCTTGCTGCAGGATGAGGAAGAGATTTCCACAAGTCCAGGTGTATCAGAATTTGTGAGTGATGCCTTTGATGCCTGTAATTTGAATCAGGAAGACCTAAGAAAAGAAATGGAACAACTGGTGCTAGACAAAAAGAAAGAAGAGACTTCAGTAGTAGAAGGTAAAGCTATTATTACATTCTGTATCTTAAATACAGAAATTCTAAGACAGGTTGATGTAATAAATAATTCAATTTAGGAAAGTAGATTTTTTTTTTTTTACCCTGTTTCAAAGTGAGTGAAATGACCTGCAATATATTGCAGAAATTAATGCTAATTCTCACCACAGTTGAACTATGTTTTATACAAAATGCTAGCTCTTAAGAATTTATATCCAAAGAACCTTCTTAAAGTGGCTCTTTTATGGAACTGACAGTAGAATATCTTTTTTTCTGTCTACCTCCTCCTTTCCCTGCCTTCTCTTTCATAGGTCTTCATGTGTACAAATTTTTCTTTCTTTAATTGACATCCTGGAGGTAAAGTAACTCCAGGTGAAAGTCAGGCAATGTTTTCTTCTTGTTACACCAGCTAAAAAGGCAGTATTTGCACCGGACTGTGAGCTTGCAGATGCCTCTGCTGTAAAACGTTTTTCACGCATTTTGAAAAGTTAAAATTTAAGAAATAGCTTTGAGAATGATGAAAAGAAATAAAATGGGGATTATACTTAATTCAGAAGAACTAGTATCAGTGTAAAAAGCAGAAAAGCAATCTGTGATAATGTGCTCTGTCCATACGCAATGAACAGCTTACTGTGAAGACACGTGTATGTGTAGATGCTTATCCTAATATAATTTTCAGAATTCATCTTAAAATATGTTTTTTATGTTGCTGAATCCTTGTTTTCTGAAGTTGTGGGGTTTTTTTCAATACGTAGCCAAGCTTGAAGAATTCTAATAAGTAGTATCAGTTCTTTGCATCTAGCTTTTTGATGGAAGTGTTTCAGTAAGTCATTAATGTGCAACATGCTGGAAAAATCTCAGCTGGCCATAGTGACTTGGACTATGGAATTACGTATCTTCATATCTAGGCTGAAGTACTAACCAACATGTAACACATCAAACGCCCATCTCCTCCCTCATACTCTTGCATATGATAGGTAGAGCTAATTAAAACAGATTAACAACACAGGAATGCTTTCTGACTCATTTTTTGTCCTGAAGTATGAAATATGATTACCCTTAACACTGATTAAGTGAGCCTGCCTAGCTACAAATGTCAGCAAAAAGAGTACCTGCTGCTTTTTCTAAATTATCCATAGTATTTGATCTTGGGTTTGAGGTTTTGTTTAACTCCGTAGGAGTTTATCCAACAAACTTATGAACTTCATTAAATTTTTTGCTGGGGATTTAAAAGTACAAAAGGAAATCTGGTTGACATTAAACTGAAAGACTGTAGGAAATGAGCTTGCAAAGGGACGCCTGTTTCAACTAAGCCACCTGTTTACTTTTTGTATCTTTCTATTCCTATGCGTGTATTATAATAGACTTGTATAGTAATTCATTCCTGTTTGTGGTCAATAAGATGATGAACTATCTGGTCTTGACGTTTCTTTAGGTTTTAAGGAGAATTGTTCATAAAGCTTAGGGAATATGAAAGAGATTGAGTGCAAATTCATCTACTTTTATGTAAATAAGCTACATGCTATATTATCAAGTTAATTCTTACACATTATTTATCTTTTGTAGAAGAAACTGCTGATTGGGAAAAGGAATTGCAACAAGAGCTTCAGGAGTATGAGGTGGTAACAGAATCAGAAAAGCGTGATGAAAACTGGGATAAAGAAATAGAAGAAATGCTCCAAGAAGAAAATTAAGCATTTTCACAAAATCACCACAGCGCTAAGCTTTTTCTGAGGACTGATGCGGTTTTCTGCTTTCATATTTTGCTTATGAAATATCTTCAAAAGACATAAAAGAATCTAAAATTGTTATAATTCCATATGGGAATACAACCAGTATTTCTGTTCTTTATGAGCAGTTTCTGAACTACATTCTTCAAAAGAAAAAAAAAAAAAAAGAGGAGACAGACATAGCAGGTTATATGTCATAATTGAAAGCGGTAACACTACATGAAGCAGCAGTTTAGTTTGTTGCCATCTTAGGTGGTCAAGAAGCTCTGCAAAGAGATTTCTAAACCTAAGAATCTCAAACTTTTTGTCTGCAGCCTTCAGTTTTGGATGTAAAAATGGATGTTGTAAGTAACTTAGACCTTGATAACAACTCTTTCCTCACCTGTGCACTCTGATCCCTGTATAATCTGTAAATGTGTACTATTTTTAAGGTACTTGTAGCTCGTAGCTTTCATGTGTATTTAACTAGTGATTGTAGCCAAAGAGTTTATAGAAAACCCTATTGAATAACTTCTGATATTTTGTTAAACAAAATACTAAATCAGACTCCAAAAGAAGTACTGATTAATTATCAACTAGGTATGATTAACTGGCAAACATTTAAGCATTTAAATAAGAACAAAGTTCTTAACTGCTTGAATTAAGCTGTTGTTACATCATAATATTAAGATGCTGCCTTTTCCCACATAGATATGGTTTAATGCATTCTTTCTTCACAAGATTGTTATGTTTCCATTTAATTTTGCTGTCTGAGTGAGAACAGATTGTTTCTCTTTATTTTAAGTGCTGAAACATTTCTGTAAAAAACATGACTGGTTTGGGCATCTTTATTAAATACTGTAGATATGTATAAAATTGGCTCATTTGCTTGGAGGAGGGCAGAGTGAGAGACAAACATACTTAAGATTTGGACAGGTTTCAAAAATATACTTTTGTCACCATGTATAAGACATGGGATTTAAATAGAAAAGTTTTCTTTAAAAGACTTTGATTCTTCTTAGACATCTGGATGTTTCCTGTAGCTTTACCGTTAAGTCAGTATCTTTGTGTATAAATGAAATATTATGTTCTATTTGTCATTTGTTTTATAAACTTATGTGACAAAATATTCATGCAATTCCAAATATGAAGGAAAAGTGGATAAAATTAAGTAGATAGGAGCCATTAAGCCCAATTGAATTATATAGGTATGTTACATACAGTAAACTCTGTCTTAATGACAAAATTCAACAGGAAACTTTTAGTAAAGAGGCTGAAGTTATTCAGCCTCAGCTGTAACTATTCAGTCAATATTCATCCCATGGGAACTGAAAAGCGCTAAGTATGTTTAACTGCTATTGCTGTAAAAAAGGACTGTTTAAAATTGTTGTTGTTAGTAACTTGGACGGAAAGCCCTCCTGTATTTCTTATTATGGAAATGAATTGATTTAAACCTGCATCCATTTGGCTTCTCCAATTAGTTTATTGCCATTCACTTTCTCAACTACAAATTATCTTGAGCACAATTTGTGTTCTTTATAGTGTTTTTCGCTTTTGGTTAACAGATGCAAGTCATGCTAAATAAGTACTTTTGGAGCTTTTAATATCTGGAATTAATTAAAGGCTGCAAAAGTCAAATCTGTTACGCTTACAAAAATCAGACTATTCAAAGCTTAATGTTTACACTTGACAAATACAACTGCTTACAGATTTAAGCTGGAGACATTAGGATCTGTCTACATACAGTTTGACATAACACATCCTAAAAAGATGGGTAGTTCTATTCTTATAGTGGCCAATCTTCTCTGGATGACTAAAAGCTCAGAATAATTGCTCTAAATGTCTACTTCCTTAAAAACCAGCCTGATAACTGCTAGTGATTTGAGGTACATGACAGGATTATTTGCATGAGATCTGTATATCAAGCTTTACCTCTCTTTTCATGTGAGCATAGCATATATGATGGTTATAGATTTCAAACTCCATCTCTCATAAATGTTGGCTCCGCCTACAAGTAAAACTTTTGTTTTCCAAGTCTTGTGAAAAACAAGTATGCCAACAAAAAAAAAAAACAAAAACACCACAACCAACCAACCAAAGAAAACGCAATCAACCCACTACTTAAATTTGCCTTTAAAAAGACAGTAACATAGGGAAGCCAAGTCTAACTTGAGCTCTGGTATTTAAAGTCTTACCAAAATTGTATTAATACTTTCAAATCCGCATATCTGGTTTTAACCTGGAAAGCTAAAGTAAGGTCTATGTACTCCTGCAGTTTTCAGGGCTGTGCAATGCCTTCCATTAGGTTAGTGCTAACAGTGTCTCGCAGTTATTACTGTGCATGGTAAGAGGAAAAGTGTCTGCATTCCACTTCTCACATGAGATGAACTCAGGTAGACCTCTTCATGTTCACGGTGAATTTTGTACGCATCTGTAGCCCAAATGTGTCATCATATTTCATAAGCATGTATGCCGGTGTTTTTTTAACAACATCATTCCAAGCACTGGGATGGTGCCGCTCCTAAAAATCAGTGACAAAGCCAAAGGAAACCAAGAATGGGTGTTAAATAATACCAACCCGTGAAGACAATTTAACTGAAAATGCAGTTGTTTAAAACACTGAGGAAATGCAAACAAACAAGAAGATTGTTGGCAGGTCTTCTTAGAAGAAGATAAGCTTGCAGATTCTGGAATTAACCCTTGAGAAATAGGGAAAAGATTGCCCAGGAATCATTAGGTTAGCTTGGAACAGTACTAACAACTTTCTTCTGAAACACCATCTTTAGTTAATCTGTGCACTGAAGCATCCTCTTCAACTATTTTAGTTTACTAGTCCAGTTGGTATTAGTTCAGATGTGTATAGAATTTTTTGATTCACTAATTTTTTTTGAGGAGGAACAAGAAGAAAGATCATAAAACCCTGCAATAAAAGAAGTGTAGTAAAATGTTCCCCTACCTTTTGTAGAAGGTGTCCCTGCCTGTGGCAGGGGGATGGAACTAAGTAATCTTTAAGGTCCTGTCCAACCCAGACCATTCTATGATTTTTACTTGTTCATTTACAGCTGTTCTCTAAAAAAAAGTTAACCAAAGCTTTCAATTTCCTCAATTATTTCAGTAAATTTTATTTTATCACTTCAGTTGGGTCAAAAATCTATTTTTTTTCTCCTCACTGTTTGGTTATCTTGGTGTTTGTTTTATGGGGTTATGCCTGTAGTACTGAAGCACAGAATGTCAATTTTAACCTCATGCATTTGAGGTTTTAAAAGAATAACCCTTTGTACAGGAGTCTATCACCTGACCATGAGATGCATCCTTGAACTGTTGGCCACTCATATATTATTGACTTTTACTTTGTAATAGGCCTTACATAAAAGGGAACAAAGCATGCCTGGTTACTTACCGGCATGCTGCCAAGCAACAGCAGCCCCACTGGGTCCTCAGTCCATGTGCTGTACCTAGAGTCTGGTTGGATGACTGCCGTGCTGAGAACCACACAGATAATGGCCTACCTTTTGATTCAGCCAAGGTTCAGAAGATGTATTGTCTAGCCTGATACTATACAGATCAGTAAGTGCTGAATTATATAACAACAGCTGTACAGCAGCCTAGCCTTAAATCACGTTATCCATTAGCAGATTTTTGTTCCAAACTACTCATTTTCAATGTTTTCTTCTGTTGCTTTAAATGTTAGGGGGTTGAGTTGTTTTGAGGTTTTTTTCAGATCAGTGTTCCAATTGTTTTAAATAAAATGGTAAGTAACAGTGAATTAATTTCTTGCTATATTTTCTTTGTATTATACTTAATTATTTCAGAAAACATTTCCTACAAGAATAGCAGAAGACATGTATGGCTTCATTTTCTTCTCAGCACAGCCCAGTATTGGTTATCTATATATACATTTGAAGACCATGCACATATATAAATAGAAACCTACATCTATGAGTGTCTAAATATATTCAAAAAATCATAATATACTTTTCCTTTTCAGCTGTCACTTTTAACTAGATACCATCACGAGAGGAGGAGCAACCAAAATAATAATCATTAGTTTGTCACTGTATCATTTTTAATGAGACTGTGCTCTGTAGGAATCATCTGGAAGAATGAATCACTTGCTTTATTTCTTAAAAGCCTGGTTTTCACTCTGGCACAGGTTGGGAATGTTTTCCTCTGCTAATTCAGGGATTCATGAAGCTATGACAAACCTCTCCAGGTTTGGATAAGATAAATTTGGGGAGGTATGCTTAATCCAAAATTTACACAGGCAGAAAGGTTATTTTAGCTCTGTGATTCTGACAAAGTAGGGGAAGATAGAAGTGCAATTAGTAAAGGGCTATATATAAAACTAGAAAAATAAAGGATTTGATGCATGATTTGATATACAATGCTTTAATGAAAACCCTGTTTAGTGTGTGGTTGTTTACTTGTACACATGCACAATACCTTATTTTGCACTTCTCTTATTTATTTGTTCTCTTTACCTATGGCTTCCATACTCAAATGTGAAGGTTTCAGGAGCAGGCACAGCTCCTGCTCTTCTGCATTTCGTAACCTTCCCAAGGAGAAATGGGCCAATTTACCTCACAGTCAAATAATGGCTAAAGAACAGACCGATTACACTCAGCTTCTTGTCTCACTTCAGAAACATTTTAATGCTGGCCATATGCCCTTTCATGACTTTGATGTCTGCAATTTAAACATCAAACAGTTTTTCTTTTGCTGTATCATCACTGCCTTGCATCCTGTATCATGTAACAAGACTTTAAAGCCCATAGTGTGTTGTATGGATAAAAAGTGCTACTGTAAAAGTATTACTGGGGCGGAGAGGAGCCTCCTCAGACATTTAATGTGGATGTAGTGTCAAAGAATTAGTAGGCATGTGAATGAAAGAGCAGAAACCATTGCCTACGCCAGCAAAAATACTGTTACATAGGATCTTTCTGGCAGAGGAACGTTATCAGTCACACTTCAAGTCTCTCTGGCTACAGATGCACTAGTCGACTGATGTGTCTGAGCATGTGTTGAAATCTGAATGCCTATAAACAGTTAGTAAGAGCCCTACAAATGTTTCCCCTGAGCCACCTAGCAATCTCTTCATTGGCTTCTTGCCACTGAGTTATTCCCAGTGGAGATGGTGTGCAACCCAGCTTTGGAGCCTGAGCATCAAGGAATATTGTAAGGAACAGTCTGCACCCCCTTGGCCCAGATGCCAGAGGATGATCACTGGCAGATTTAACTCACAATAGCAAGCACAGCCTCTGGTTTGGGTGTCCTGCCTCCAGTCCTGGCTTGTGTAAACCAGCACACATATAGGGTGAGGGTAAGCAGTGCCAGGTTCATTGGAGTCCCAGACTGACTGCCTGCCTCCTCACAGTGAGCCATGGCTTGCTTTCAGACCCTGGTGGCTGGCATCTCATCCAAATTCTCTTTCAAAGTACATCTGCACAAAGCTGTAACTGGCTATCATTTTTAACCATACAAATGTCGAGTTCCTTTTTTAATCTAGTTCATTACTTCATTGATGGTGTGGGATAATTAATTTCTTAATGTGGGAAGGGGGAAAATCTTTTTTTTATCGTTTCGAATGTGCCGCTTTGTAATTCCGCTGAACTTTGTGTGACATGGAAAACAAAACAACCCAACTTTACTTTCTTTCCGTCATGTCCCACACATTACTTTCCTGAACCAAGGAAGTAACTTCAGACTTTTCATTCCTGTCATATTTTAATGATGGCATTTTCCCATATACCCAGTAAATTCTGACAGCTTTCTCAGATCCCTTTTACCTTTGGAGTTCATTTTATGGGAGGGAGGTGTGATGTGCAACACCACACAGGAGAACACACCACCCAGCTGACACATCCTATTTCCATTTTCTCTCTTACTCCTCATCCCATTCCACATGTACACCAAAACCTTGTTTGGTTTTATTTCTAGCTGCATGTTCAGCCAGCACGTTTGCCATATTGTCCACAATGGGCCCCAGGCGATTTGCCCAGTAGCCATCACTCATCCTGTGAAGTAGAAGAGTGGTGATTTGGGTTAGGTTTGTTTTGTTTTCTTAGGGTTTTGGTTTGTTTGTATTTTTCTGTTTCCCTTTGCCTTCATTTTCAGTTGGTCATTCTGTGAAAAGTAACACTGAAAGAATTATGGTTCCTACTCAGTACCAGGGGAGAGTGTTCCAACAACAATTCTGATAGTCCAGAGTTTCTTGAAAACACTTATGAAAGCCATTATCATAGTAATCATGAGAAAAGGACAAAATTAAATTTGGTGCTCCATTTCAATGGTTTCCTGACTGCACTGCATGTTGTAACAATGCTGTAAGAAAAGAAATACCGTCTTTATTTCAGTTTCTCAATTGTCTTTGTTTAGAGTTTTAAACATCTTGTTCTAGTTGTCACCCTACTGATGTGTTTCTAAAAAAATAACAAAGCAATTCATTTTTCACCAAATTGCCTAGGAGTGCCCACCCCAGTGAGGGCAGTGAAGTAGTTGAGAGGGTTCACAAAGTTAAGACTACTCTTAAGTATGGTAATAACCACATTAACTTGGAAGTAGTTCATAAAGCTAGGTTACCCTGAAAATGACTAAAGATTCTTACCAAAGGATGCTTAGTTATATTCTAAATAATAATAAACCCCTCCCCTATTTTTTCTCAGATACTAGCTTCTTGCCTGTCAAAACATAAGAGCGCTTCTTCTGATTCCCAATAATTAAGTGGCTACTTGGCAACAGCTATTTGGGTGGAACATTTGCTTGGCTGCTCCCAGTACATAGTCCATGACTGTTCCTCCCTCGCACAAGCAATCTTCAGCAAGGTCATGAGCAGGGCACAACTGCAAATAAGTCCTCAGCCTCCTGTCAGTACGTGTATTTACTTGCAGGAGTGGAACACGAATTTTCAGTACTGTTGACATGCACTTTGCTGGCAAGTGCATGGCAACATTTCTGAGAGAAATTCTGAGAGAATTCTGAGCATTTCTGAGAGAAAACAGTTCACAAAATAACTCAAAAAGACACAGGAAGAAAACCATAAATACAATCTAAAATACTAAAAGCTGGGTATTTTTTTTTTTTATTCAGTTTCACATTTGTGGTGTTCAGAGGACAACAGCACAGGGAGCAATAGGTGCACCAGGGATCTGTGACTGAGTTTGGAAGCCAGTGGTACTTCCCTTACTAAGCCCGAATCAGCTACCCTCAAACCCCCCTAAACTTCTGTAAAAACTGACTTGGTAGGAAGCAGTGTCTTTCTTCATAAAATAATTATAAGCAATCCATGTTAATCAATCTGTGTCACAGAATCAGCAGAAAAACCCCTGACAGTTCAAGTGCGAAAACAATTACTATTGGAAATAAATTCTCTAACATCTAGTAGTTTTTGATGAAATCTTTGTCCCCCTTGACAGAATGGCCTTGTGCCTGCTTCTACTGCATGATGTGTGTTAACTTCTCTGGCACCCAAATTCACCAAAATAGGCCTTACAATGAATTTTATTACAGTAAAGGCTTACAGCCAGCAAGAACTCCGTGGGTCTTTATTCTGTTTTCTCTCAAAGTAGCTCATACTTGTAATTAATCTTCCTTCTATTCCAGAAAGTGCCTATCAGGGGGAGGGGAACAGAATGCAAGAGTTAATTTATGTTTTACTACACATATAAACGTTCCAATAATGCTTTTGAGATATTAAAAGCAATCTTAAAGCCCTATTTATGGATTTCATGAGCCATCCTGCGATCAACCGGAGCATATTTGCATGGATCTCTTGATACTCTCAAACAGGAGGGATGTGTGTGCAAAATCCTAAAACATCAAAATTCTGCTGGGGGAGAAGAGGGACACTTTTTTCTTTTTCCAAGAATTGTACCAATATTATGCATGTTTGTAAAAGAACAAGTGTTATTCTAGGGGAGAAAACCTCCATCTAAAAATTGGGATAATACCCAAAAATAAAAAATTATTTTTCATCTTGAAACTATCAATTGACTAGGTCTGGGAAGCACAGATTTAGACTGTAAGGCCAAAACAATTCAAGCAGGTACTCCCTCACAGAAGCTACTTTACTCAACACAAATATCCACCTATTCTCTGAAGCAGTAAGTGCTTAAGGAGGTTTAGAGTGGTACTTTTATTCAGTAACTCTATGAAAGAACATCAAGGTTCCCCTTGGGTTATAGAGGTTAAGTTTATTTCCTTGACAAGCGGGAACATCTGTATTACCAGGATGTGTGCTTGCATGTGCAGCATGCAGTCCAGCAAGATCCACACACACCCAGGAAACCCGTAGTGAGTTCAAAGGGTTGCATGCATGCCCCAGCAACTTCATTCTTCCCTCCAGCATGTGATGTCAACCTTCCTTCCACAGAAGCAATCCTTAACCCCACAGCAGCCATTCCACTTGCTGAAGTCTTGCAGAGAGGGGAAGGCCTGGCTGAGGTTTGGGCTGCAGCAGCACATGGCTACGTTCACCAGAAGGGCTTCTACCTCACTCCAGGTGGCTCCTCAGTCTGTGCTGGCCTAAAGAATTGTAGAATTGTCAAATCCCTGGTTGGAAGGGATGTCACGGATGTCATCTGGTCCAGCCTTTCTAGCAAAGCATGACCTAGAGTAGATATCCCAGCATCCTGTTTAGCCAGATCCTACAAGTGTCCAATGCTAGGGAATCCACCACTTCCCTGTGGAAATTATTCTAATGGCTGATAGATCTCATAGTGAAAAAATTTCCTTTTGTGTCCAAATGGAATCTCCCCACGATTAACTTGCGCCCATTACTCCTTGTCTTCTCTATATGACTCCTTGTAAAAAGGGAGTCTCCATCTTCTTTAAGTACTTGGAATATGGCGATATGGTTTTCCCCAAACCTTCTTTTCTCAAGGCTAAACAAACACAGCTCTCTCAGCCTTTCCTCATAAGCCAGGCTTCCCAGCCCTTTGATCATCTTTGTGACCCTTCTCTGGGGTCACAAGCTTCCACATAATTTTTGTATGGCGGGGAAGAAAACAGTGTTCCAGGTTATGGCCTGACAAGCGCTCTGTCCACCGTCCCGGCCTCGGCCACACCTGCACAAAGCAATTCCCGGCTAAACCTCTCTTCCCAGCCCAGCTTTCCCTCAGGAGCAGCATCCCCGGCGTCCGCCTTACCCACAGGCGGCCCGCCGACCCACCCCACGCCCGACTCCCCGTCACGGCGGCGCCGCTGAGCTGTCCGCGTCTCCCAAGCCACGGCAAAGGCACCAATGGCCACGAGGAAGGCGGAGCGGACAACACGTCCCCCGATGACCGGCCGCTGACACCACCGCGTGCCCGCCGCCCCGCCCCAGTACGGGCGCCCCCCGCGGCAGACCAGACTACAGCTCCCGGCATGTCCTAGGAAAGGGGGAGCCGCGCGGTGCACGCCGGAAAGCGCAGTCCGCTGCCCCCGAGGGACCCCGGCGTGCTTCCGCCGACTCCCGCGGGAGCAGTGGGCACGGAGGGCAGTGACCTCTCACGTGAGGCCGGGGACCGCGCGGCGATTGGCTGCCGCAGGGAGAAGGGGCGGGCAGGCAGGGAGAGCTTCCGGTGTGCCTCGGCTGTCGGCAGCTTGTTTGGATGCTGCCGTCACATCATGGCGACGCGCGGAGCGGAGGCAGCGCGCGGAGGAGGCAGCAGCAGCGGCACCGGCAGCAGCGCGCAGGGACGCAGCCGGCGCCAGAGCCACAGCGGAGAGGAGGAGGCGGTGGCGGCGGCGGCGGTAACAGCGAGCGGCGGCCCGGAGGTGAGGCAGCGCGCAGCCGGGCATGGTGGGAGGGCGCTCCCGCTCCCCACCCGGTGGCTTGTGGTGCCTCGCTCGCCGCCTCCCCCATCCCCACGCGGCCTCGGCGCCCTGCAGGCGCTTGGGGCTGGGGCAGGCCGTACCCCCGCCGCTTCCATGGTTTTCGGGGACCTGGCACGGGGCCGGACAAGCTCCTCTCCGCTTCCCACGGAACTGGACCCGCGCGTGTGTGTCTGAGGGTCGGCATTCTCCTGAGGAGCCGCGGTCGCGTTTCCCCGGCTGGGGGGTTGCTCCAGCCGCTCTCCATGTCCCTCTCCCGAGGGTCGAGAGGCGGTCCCTGCCTCGAGCGCGCGGCGGGCCTTTGGCGGGGGGGGGGGAGGGCGGCACGTGGCGGGGCCCGGTTTGAGGCGGGTCGGGTCGGGGTCCGGGAGGCATTTGCCCGTCTGCCGTTGTCCCGCCACGGTGATCCCGCTGGCTAGAGGTGCCAGGCGCCGTGCCGGCAGTTGGCGCTCACCGGTGCGGGCCGTGGGGTTGAGGTGCGAGGCACGCGTGCCAGAGCGGAGGCTCTGCGTGCCTGCCGCGCGGTGCGTGTGTGGGGGGAGTGCTTCCTTTCGAAATAGGTGAAAAATGGTTCTTTCTCTCATTTTCTTTCCTCTACCGGCACGCCATCAAAAGCGACGGTGTTCTCGGTGACTTTACAATAATGTCTTGTTGCGTGTCCATATAGGAAAAACCTAAAATGTTTGTGCAGCGAACAGCAAAGACTTAAAACGTGCAGTAGTTGAGCCGTGACATCACCAACACGCTGCCTGACAGAACTGCCACGGTAATCTCATGTGCCACTTAGGTATCTCATCCTGTGTCCTTACATAAATCCAAGTGGCTTTTTTTTTTTGTGGGACCTTTCTTGAATGCTACAAAGAATAAAAACGTCCCATACATAGTAACTTGGTGGTGGTGGTGGTTGTTTATTTTGGCTCTTGGGGAGGGATTTAAGAGGCTCTGGAGGTATTTTTTCCTCAAAGAAAAACCATCTCTTGTGCTGTGTGTTTTTTTTGAAGCTCCTTACTGGAGCTTGTAAGGGGCTTGTAAGGAACTTTAGCATCTGCGACGAAAGCAGATGCTGATGATTAAAACCAAAATACAAATAAAATCCAAAACACACAAACAGACTGGCATCTCCACGCTGGTTCATCTACCTGCAGTTGAATGGAATTGAGCATTTTAAAAAGGTGAAATGTGACAGGGAATATTAAGCAAATTTTACTTCAAATTTTTTTTTTGTGAATTAAAAATCCTTAAGCAGTCTCTTGCAGCGTCCCTCCCCCTGCCTTGGTACAGGGGAGCTTCTTTATTTTTAGGTTCTTTGTGACCTGTTTGCATTGTGAATTCGGAACTCGTCTATCCTGCTTTTTCCAGAAACGTAATGTGGATGACTAGAAAACCATTAGGGTTATAGTGAAGAGGAAGTGAAGCCTCATTGGTGGAAGTGATTCATGCTATATTAAATATTTTCTTAATTAGCACCTGTCTCAGCCCCTTGCATTAAAAAAGGACTGGTGAAATGTGTAGCACTTGGCCCTGTAAGTGCCCTGAAAGTTTCCATTTAAGCTTTGGGTTCTTCCAATGGTTTTTGGGATTTTTTCCCCTAGAATTACAGGAATTATTTTTAATGTCTTAAGGGAAAGCAGGGAAGAGATGGTTTTAATTACTTTTTTCAGAGCACAGAGGAAAAAGAATGACACAAAAGAAATTTTTTTTTTTTTTTTAAATTTTTCTTTCATTTGAGGTTGCTTGAGGTAAATAAAGCTATTTTTAAAAGCAGGAATCTCTTCTGCAGCATAAGGTTGATGAAAGTAAGAGCAAGAAGCATGGAAGGGGTAACAGAAATATAAGGACCAGAAGCAAAGGTCATGTAACAATGTGTTTGAAACAATATTAGACACTTAATCTTTGATGTAAGGCCAGCAGTGTTAATAGCGGTCTGTTAACATTGACTTTGTATTGACTTATAAAGATAAAATACAGATTTCCACAGTAGGTATTTCTTAATCGGCCTCCTGCTGTGTTGGGACTTACTTCCAAGCTTGCAATGCTTTGAAACTAATGATGACCAGTACTGCAGGTGCCTCAGTCCAGTGTTTTGAAAGTAGGTAAATGAGCACATAGAACATAATTTTTAATGTAATGACAGAACAAGGTGAAATGTTTGTTTGAAGTGACTTTCTGATCTCACAATTAAGATTGTAGTTTGGTGGGGAAGGCACCTTGGCCACCACTTTTTCAGAAAGGTGTAATTAGGCTGCATGATCATCCAAGTCAGTGAACACAGTATAGGAAAGTATTTATTGCATGGAGAAATAACCTTAATAAGCTAGTCTCATGGTCACAAGCGCCTGAATTATTGTGTCTAGACCAGTGGATGAAGGTGCACCTGCTGCAAAATTCAAACCCGAATTCTGTGACATCCCAAAATGCTACTTTTTGTGGAGAAGACATGACTAACATTGCTACCAAGAATGACTGTTCTTTTAGCACAATAGTTATGTTAAATGAACTCTTCTTGAATATCTGTATTGAGGAAAAGTATATCACACAAACGTTTTCAAAACATGTTAGCAGGTAACAGTAAATTGCTGGGATGCAGGAAGCATAACATTTGCTATAAACCATAAACATTTATGAGAAATCACATACTTCTTGCTGTTACAGGTGTTTTTTGTTTCTGTTTGTTTGAATGCAGTTGATCAGGTTAAGGTTTATAAGGCTTTTATGCCCAGTTACATGTGTGGTAGGTTTGAGGATGTAGTCAGCTGAGTGATGTTATTTAAATGGACTTTTCTTGAGCCTGATGCTGAGCAATGATTACATATTTGCTTATATATTTAGGTTGTCTTACAGTTGTGAAGATCTGTTTTGTGTACATGCATTTGTTCTAAAGCTTCCAGGATATTATTTAAAAGTACTAGCAGTTCTGAAGGCTAAGGTTGTAAAAGTCTTCTCACAGTTCAGGCCATCTGCTACTATGGGCGCAGTAAGAGATGTTTTGACAGACTAATACCAGTACTTTTTTTTTTTTTTTTTGTTAGAGTAACTTCCTAGCATATAGGAAAAAAAAAAAGATGTGGATGTAACTACTGCTTATGGTTTTATTTTCAATAAGAGATACAGAGTTTTCAGGAAAAGACTGAGTATGTGTATGCACAGGCGTATAAAATATAGGTATTTGAGTACATGTAGTAGCAATGATAAGTACAGTATATATCAGGTAGCACTTGACTGTGTGTTACGGGCTCTTGTAGGTAAGAGAACAAAAAAGTAAGTCTTATTAATACTTTTTGGCATGGTAAGGAAAGTTCTGCCGAAGTATCTGTTTTGTCCTTACATGCAGTGCACGTTACTGGAGCAGAACTGTTTGAAGTAAAGTTGGCTTAGACTCTTGTGATCATAGCCAGTTACATAAATAGGATACCTCTCTTGTACTCTCATCCTTTAGGTACTGAGAGTTTTCTTGATGCGCAACTTTTTTGATCTAGGTACAAGTTGAGAGAACATAGCAAAAGACTAAATGAAAACTTGCGGATGAGCAGGGGCAGTGTTACCAGTAATTTTCCTGCAGGGCATCCTAAAGTTGTTTGACTTATGACTCTGTCTTAAATAGCTTGAAGATGATACACTAATTCAGAAGTGTCAGCATCTTTTAATAGTTGGTTTAATAGCTAGGTAAATGGCAAGTATCTTGTTTTGTAATGGTAGAGTTTTGAATTTTTGTGAACGATTTTGTGATCTAAAAATGTTACACGTTACCTGTGCAACATACTTTGTCTCTCACTGGACATCTTTCTAGGTATGTAACAGTCTTAATTCTGGCCTGTCAGATTATAGGCCTCCTATCATTAAAGTTGGTTAGAAGCAGCAGGTTGGAAGCCAGCTGGAAGCTGTGGAAGCATGGTATCAACTAGAAAAGGTAGCGGAGATTTCAGTAGAAGGTCTTTGGCAGGGTGATTTTGTTTCTATTCAGTCAGTACTGAATCAGCACTATTACACAATGTGTTTTTGGAAGTTCTGTGTTCTGGCTGGAATGTTGAACTGAGAAGTTCACTAGTCTGATGAGCACTCATTTGAAAAGATAGAGGTAATAGTTGGGGTTGTTCTAACCATTGTCTTGGGGGGGGGGGGGGGGGGGCACAATTTCAGTGACAGAGAATTGTTTAGTACTTAACATTCTCTGTGTGACATTTATTATTGCTGTGCTCCAGCTTGAAGCTTTATACAGATCAAATCTGAACTACCTATAGTAAAGTGTTTAAGAATAATATTGAATGTTGGAAGGCTGTTCAGACTTCTGGTTATGTGTTAATATCTAAAGTGACAGCTAATGGGGAAAATTCTTGGTTAGTCATAATTGGGAAGTCATCTAGCTATTAGTGTTTGTGGCCCTAGTCAGGCAATAGCAGACTTCTCTGTTTAAAACCACTTTCTAATCTAAGTTATTAAAATTCTAATGTATTTATGTTGTGCCACTACTGTTAGTTTTGCTAGAACTTACAGACCACAACTTGATAGAATTTAACTAGTTTTTTTTAAGCTGTTTTTGGTTTGTTATTAGGGTTGCTATAGCTGCTGGTGGAACCACTTCTTTAAATACAGTACGTGGTCACTGATTTTTTTTAATTGTATTTAAGCTGAAAATATTTGATATTGTTACAAAATCTCTCTACTGCCACAGTGAGCTTTGGTTTTGCAGCAAGCATGTTTGCTTGTCACTAAGCTTGGATTTCTTCCATTTTCACTGGAAAACCAAAAGAAGGTTGTCAAGTTTAATAGTTTTTTTCACTATGGCTATTATTTTCAAAGATATTTGAGATGTACAAGATGCTTGTACATAAATCTTTTTCTTGAATTCAGTATTCTGGTAGGTTATTTCTGCCTGCTCTGTTAGACTTCAGAGAATGAGCATGAAGTTCTGAAAATCCTGTTTTTCTTGACAAAGGATGGAGAATACTCAGAGTTAAGAGGTTGTTATTGTCATTACAGAATTGGACTGACACCTAATTTGACTGCTGCAAAAGCCCTGCTGAATTAATGAGGTGGTGGTGTTCACTCTGTGAAACTTTCAGGTGCTGTGGAATATGAATGCTAATTGCCCCAGCTCTGAATTGACAAGAGTTGAGGTTACTATGATGGTTTGCTAGAAGTGGGCATTTTGTGTCTTACTGGTCACAGGTATGCCCCCACCAGTAATTGTTTGGTTTTTTTGTTTGTTGTTGGGGTGGGGTTTTTGTGTTTTGGGTTTGTTTTTTTTTTTTGTGGGTTTTGGTTTTTTCCCCAGAAATGGCAGAATTTTCTCAGCTGAAAACCAGTTAAAAATTCTGGGTTGTTTAAATTTGGAGCAGTGCTTCTCATGAACGTCATCTTGCTGACAGTGTTCTAGTACCTCAGTAGTCAGTGTTAACTATTTAACTGGTGCTTTTTATTTAGTTCCTTGTGCTCTGGCTGTGATTAGATTTACTTTTTTATAGTGACTCTCGTTCTTTGGGTTCTTTCCAACCATCGTGCTAGCACTCCTAGTTGGGAGGATTGCCTGTTAACTGTGCAGTGAGCGGGACTGAGGTACCAGTCTGGCTATGAACTGTTAGAACAAGCTGTGTGAATGTTGTGGCTAGCACAACAGGGGTGGGTATGAAAAAGGGGAATGAAGTGATAGCAAGAGAGCTGCTGCTGTTCAATGTGTAACCACAAATGGAGCCAGTCAGCCTTCTCAGCTGCCTTTTGAAGTTCCTGGCAATTTTGTGCTCTGCTTTCAAAAGTTTATGGGAGTCTGTTTATGGATTTCAGAAGGTCTGGAAATAATGTGCCAAACCAGGAATTTTCGAGTTTAGAGCAGACTTTCCCTACCTTTTGCCAGGCTTCTTAGGTACAAGTATCTGAACCAGAAGTTCATGTCCTATGTAATAGAAAAAATGCAAGTTTCAGCTGTTGTATTGGTACTGCAATTCTGCTCTGGTATCACATTGTGATCTGATACCTCTGATCTTTCCTGTCTTGTCACTCTAATGCAACATCGTTTCTTTGGCTTCTGTATGAATCATGATTTGTGGAGATCTCTGCCATGTCTTCAGACCTTGATATCTATGAAAAGGATAAGCAGTCTCTGTTGTTTTCACATTTCTTGTCCTTTTTTAAGAAGAATCTTGTTTGTTTAGCTGACCCTAAACTTGGGAGGGGTAAGTCTTTCCTGTGCCAATGGAAGCCCCACAGTTTAAGATTACATAGGAAAAAATATGCATCTTACAGCTCTAAAAAGTCTGTTAAATCTTGGTTCTTTTTTACAGCAGTTATATTACTGCATTACCTTTGCAGGCATTTATCAAATATTTTGTCTTGCATTATTGGAGAATAAAATTGGCAGTCCTTGTTTCTTTTTTTTTTTTCCCATAAACCACATGCATCACTTCCACACTTGTAAAAAGCTGTGAAAGTGAATCTTCCTTTATAAGTCAGAAGTTGCTCCTAAATGTGTATGCAGATTATTTGCAGTTAAAAAACTTACTGTCATTCATGAAAGATACTGTATGAATTCCATCATTCTGAAGAATGAATCTGCCTTAGATAAGGTCTAAAACAAGGGACTTTATTTACGTGTAGAGAACAGCTAAGCTGTCATAAGCTCTTTAACAATATTAACACATTTGTTTAATGATTTTTAAATAACTCTTCAAAGCATGCTGAACAAATTTGGAGTTGAAATATATCTCACAATATATTATTAGTGTTGGCTGCGTTCTTTTGATGTTGGCAAATTCCTTTTGAAGAGGAAAGGAGTACATCTGTGCAGAATACAAAACCCAGTACAAACTCCAGGTTTAAGATTTAGGACATTTTTAATATTAAAAATATAAGGTAATATGAAATAAATCTGTGCTTAAACAATGAAATTCTGCATATAAATGGGTCCTGCTTTTATAATTTCTTGTGACTTTAACAAAACATTTTCTGTTCACTGAAAACAAATCAGTTAGAATGATCACTTTGGCAGTGAAGTGAGTTCAGCTCTGCTTATTATACTTTCATTCATGGATGCATGTTGTATAGTAGGATCACAAATCCACAGCAAAAAATTCCACTGCCAAGTACTGTCTGGAGTCCCAGCCTCTATACTGTAACAAAACAAAAAAAGAACACCCAACCACACGCCCTTGAATTTCTCTTGTCAGCCTTAAATATATCTAGAAACTGAGAATGTTGTCCTGGTGGTTGAGAGAGGAGTCTGGTAGCTGCTCAGTAGTATATAGAGTGATATTACCAGTATATAGAGTGATATTACTGCTCCAAAATACTGGACATATCACTGGCGTTCTAAAGCAACTGGTGATGTTTAACTTTTTGGTTAAATGATTAAACCTTTGGGTGTTTAGGAAATGTTTGGAGAGAAAGTTGTTTAATTGAGCAGAAATAATGTATTGTTAAAAATCATAGGCAGTAGGACTCCAAATCTGAAGCCAGTTAATACTTACTTTTTTTGATGACTTCATAGATTTAAATTTTAAATTTAAAAAATGGATGTGCTTCCAGTTACGTTTATAATTCTTGTTAAAACAACAGATATTCTCCAGTCATGAGCTGACACTCTTATTTGGCATTCTGATTGAGGTAGTTTGAACTCTTACCCTAGGTGTGTTATCAGTGTATTTCTGTGTATTTCTTTAGACTTCCTAGTAGGTTAATTCCCTCCCTGCCTCTCCCTCTTTCTTGCAGTATATCTCAGGTTATTTCAGAACTGGTATGTTCCACTTTTCTGGAACCAATATGTAATAATGTTGGGTTTTATAATGTTGTCCTCCTGTCTCAATTTATATACCTTATTTTTCAGATAACAATACATAAACCTAGTTAAACTCTTGCTGAGTTTTAGGTTTGGTATACTTAGTGTTGATTTGTGAGATTTTAAGAACTATGACGGGAGAAGTGTTTGCATTTAAGATTGTGTGCTGAGATGATAGCCAGTTAGTTTTGGAGCTTTAAGAACAAATTTCCATGGGAACTTTTTATTTCTAGAGTATAAACATTCCTGCAATTACAGGGTTTCAAATTTGTTTTGTAAAAGAGCACTTAGGATTTTGGACTGTTGTATGCTGTTTTCTTCATCACTCTTTAGGCTCATTCTGTCTACAGTTACTTATATACCTGCCTTAACAGCAGTGAATATCAACTTGAATCATAGAATCATTAGGGTTGGAAAGGACCTTAAGATCATCTAGTTCCAACCCCCTGCCATGGGCAGGGACACCTTACACTAAATCATATCACCCAAGGCCTCGAAATAATAATAATAAGGATGGGATTTTACTTTTACTTGTCCATGCAAAAGAAAGTTGAAAGTTTTTGTTTTTAGTATAGTTGATTGATTGTTCACGTCCTCCTTTCCCTTCTGAAGTTGGTTGTTGGTGCAATGGAAGAAGCTGTTTCTCAGGAGATGGGAATGAATAACCAGGATCAGCTGGTGAAGAGCAAGTGCGATGAACTGTCTGGCACACCACTGCGGCACGCACAGTCCAACTGTTGTGGCCTGGAAAACACAGCTTCATTGGAAGAAGCTGAGTGTATCACAAAGAACAGAAAGCACCCGGGGTCCACATGCTGCTCTCAAGAGTCTCGTGAGGAAACTCCTGGGAGAGAAGAAGCCCGTACTGATCCACCTGATGGCCAGCAAGATCCAGAGAGTGAAAAACACAAGGAGAAAACTTTGGGTATGTTCTCTTCAGCATTTTGATTTTTAAATGGCTTTAATATTTTCATAAAATAGCAATGCATTTGCTCTGTCTTTGTCTCAGGTTTACTCTGTAGCCAAAACTTGTCATCTTTAACAAGGTATTCTGAGAAAAGGTGCGCTTCTGCTTAGGAAAAGACAATTCTTAATGCATATGTAAGAATCCTTCAGCTGGTAATGCTATTTTTAAAGGAACTTTTATAACAGTAATAATGTGGTAATTACTAATCAGCTTTTTTAACTTTCCGGTGGTTGGATTAACTTTTAAATTTGGGATTGTGGTGTCCAATGCTACCAAGGCACTGCTGATATTTAAATTCCAGAACCTTATTAAAAACACTTGTGTGAATATCCTTTATTAGCAAAAACTTAACCTTTTAAATTTTGCTCTTTTAGATTTTTCTTTTTATCTGTGCTATTAAAAATATATGTAAAAATATTTTTGTGGTTTTAAGGTTAAAGTAATAACTTTTACTTTTTGTAACTTTATCCAAGTTATGTAATGTCACATAGGCAACACAAATTCTTACTGTGATGGCTTCCCATGTGTCAACTCTTAGGATTATGCAGCTATCAAACCAAAGAACAACTTAATTTGTGCTAATTTCTCATGGATCTGTATTTTACTTTTCTAAAGATAGGCTCTTTTCTGGTACTTTTTTTTTTTCTTTTCTCAATTTGGTGGTTTTCATCCAATTCATAGGAAAAGAAGTATTGTTATTAATGCAAGCCTTGAACACACTTTCTACACCAGAGGAAAAGCTGGCAGCTTTGTGCAAGAAGTATGCTGATCTGGTAAGTAATTTGTAAAGATAGCAAGAGTTATTCATGTGTTAATATTAACTATGGAATACAAGAACTTCTGATACAGGACAGTAACAATTTTGAATATTTCACAGTGTTGGCAGGGGAAGAAAAAGCAAGCTCAGGCTTATTATGGGTATTAATTCAGCCAAACTAGCATGCATTCTGCTTCTACATGACTGACTAAATCCAAAGAAAAAACAAGTTATGATAACTTTTTGATAACTTGGCGTTGAAGCGTAGGATTAGGATTAACAGAGAAGTTTAGAGTTTCTTTGGGGAGTAATTATTTTCTTAGTTTTTGTCTGTCAATAATGCTTTTGTGCTAGCATTTTATAATTTATACCCTTTAGGATAAAGGGAAAGAACATATTGGGATAATGAGATATGGAAAAAGTAAGTTATACTTAACTCTTAAGTGATTTTGGGGAGCAGGGGAAGTTAGGTTTAGGTTTAATTTTGCTTTGTGCTTTCTGATTATGCAAAAGAATGGATAGAAAAATAACATTTCTTCATTAACAAATCAAAAAGTCAAAAAGTTAGCAGTGATTGATCATAAAGTGCATTCCTACCCCTAGTAGGAGAAATTATAATTTATTTTCTAAATTAGATGATCATAAAACTGGGGACACACACTCATGAGTTCACTTTTCAGAATGTCCCTGGAGACTTGTTCATCTTGAGACAGGAACAGACAAGAATGGAAAGACTGGAAATACTGTGTGCATGCTTTCCCACCGTATTTGCAGTTACAAAATGAATGTAAAACGAGATAACTGAGGAGTTTGACAAAAGCATGAGGTTTTTTCCTTATGTAGATGTCAGGTGTATTATATACAAAGGTGGTTTTGAAAATGACATAATGGCTGCACCACATGGAGCGTAGCTCTTCTGAAATAATGGGTGTTTTTGTCCTGTGAGATTCAGGATGTCTCCAGAGCTTGAGGATGAGCTAGCACGTAGTCTTTTTATTCACAAAGGCAATACTAATTACTTAAGAATAGACTTAGATTAGTTCTGTTTAGGAAATCCTCCTTGGAGATCTGTTACATTTTAGCTTTTTCTCTGCTCTCTCACATGCACGTTCTTGTCCACATGAGTTAATTTCCTTCAAAACCGGCAGCTTCTATAAGAAGTCACTTTCATTTAAAAGAGATACAATAATACTTTCACAGTGCAACTCAAGGATGAGGAGCCCACCTGAAAATGAGCTTTGATATTGTGAGAGGAAAATGCAGTAAATCAGTTGTTACGAGCAGTTGCTTGTGCATGTGATGCCTTTTCTATTTGAGCAAGCAACTCCCATGTCAAATCACAGTGATGGTGATGGCCTGCATGATGGGCTAGGTTCGCATGAATTTCTTGCTTCTGTGGAAAAAAAAAATTATCTGCACCATCTTAATTTTGAGCGTTCTTGTTGAAGACCATCAGGAGAGAAACATGTTCACATTGTTTTTTCCCCTCCCAGGAGAGGATCTGTAGTCCATAGGCAGCATAACCATTCACAGCCCATAGTTAGTCACCTTCCTGGAAAGCCAGTTGCTTTCCCCAGGATGCTCAGAACTGTTGAGACTTTGGGTGGGAGGTTGTCCAGGTGTAGCAATAGTTGTTTTAGCTGAATGAGTCTCAGAGGTACTCTGTTTCCCTCAGAAAGTTTAGGTTGTGTTCCTTTTAAGATGCATTCTTTTCTTCATGATAGTGGTGATGAGCCACTGGCACAGGTGTCAGCTTTAATGCCAGCAGAGGTTTGAACTGTTTATGACAGTGCACCTACAATGCTTTTTTTCTTTTTTTAAAGATTCATCATCTTTAAAGCTCACTGTCAGGTTTTTCAGTGGTGTCTCATGAAAAGGACTGTACAATAAAGGTAGGAATGCCTCTCTCCTGGCAAAAGATCTTCCACAATTATTTTTTTTTTTTCCTAATTTGGAATCTATCAGGAGATCAGTTTGTGATGTAGGAAGGTTTGCATCCGTGGTGATAGGTCTCATGCTGGCATACATTTACAGGCCTGAAGTTTCATAGATATGCAGACAGCAGAGCCACTTGAAGTATTTTTTCTGGCCACCCAAGAAAAGGGCTTTTTATGTTTGAATATCAAAATATTCCCTTAACAATCCTTTTCTCCAAACTAGATTAAATATACATTTAATTTACTGTTGTCATGGAGGTGCTTAATTGTATTTATTCTTTCTTCTGTGCTTCAGCATTACTTTGAGCTCTTTCAAAAAACCAGCCCTGTATTATTATTCTATCATGGTGATGTTCCTTGTTGTCAGCCGCCTTTTCCTGTGGTGTCCCAAGGCTGAGGCACTAATAAGGAGCAGTGTTGAACTTAATTGTTACCTTCTTTACAACAGAACAGACTAAACAAAATGGTTTCTTGGGGAGCCCAGAAATCCTGTGTAATGGAACTTACTTTCAACTAGATATTAATGCAAGAAACTTCTATTCACTGGATATTCATAGAATATATATTGAAGTCAGCACCATATACGTAGTTTAACACTGTCATTTACAGTCTAAAGAGCCTAAAGAGGTACAACAAAGAATTTGCTTCAAATAGTTGAGACTACAGAACTCTTAAGTCATCAAAGTCTGAGCTGTGCAGCTTTAATAGTACTTGATTTGTCAGGGCTGCTGGTTGTATCTGTTCCATTCTGAAATACCTTAGCATTTTACAAACTTGTATCAATTACTGCTTCCTTTGGTAGGAGCTCCTGCTGACAAGAAAGAACTGTGCACACATTTATGTGGATTTTTGTTTCTGATACTAGAGAGAGACCTGTTGGATAAACAGCTGTGTGTACCTTGCAGATAAGAGTGGAAAACATTGTGACCTGTTGAAAAGCCAGTTTCAGTTGGTTTTTAATTACATCTGCCACATCCTTCTTTCTCAGAGCTAGTTCTAACCCTGTGGCTGAATGCAGGCCCGTGGTCCCTTATCCTCACAGGCTAAGTTGGAATTTGTGTATTTCCATCTTCTGTCCTTGCACATTTAGAATTGTCTGTAGGATGATGGAAGTTTCTTTTTAAGTGTCAACTTGGGGGTCTTAATGAAGTTATTTTACTTTCTTTCATCTGAAAGTTGTAAAAGTTTATTCAGTCTGCTCATCTAGAAGAATATAGTTTCACCTATGTTTATTTAATAAATATAATCTCTAATGTTAGTTGGAGGAGAGTCGAAATGTTCAAAAGCAGATGAAGATACTGCAGAAGAAGCAAGCACAAGTTGTGAAGGAGAAAGTCCACTTGCAGAGTGAGCATAGCAAGGCCATTTTGGCACGTAGCAAACTGGAATCTCTCTGCCGGGAGCTTCAGCGTCATAACAAGACTTTGAAGGTTAGTTTATATAAATTACAATGCCAGTGGTGGTGGAAATCTGACTTTATTGGCTACTGCTTAAAATCAAGGCTGCTGCTTTTTACTTATCACTTCGCTTGTTATCTGTACCTGCAGAAGAAGAGTGTCATGTGATGTAAGTGTCCCTGATTTTAAGGTAAAACATGTAGGTATAATTAACCTTGCTATTTTTTTTTTTTCCCCTTCTATTACTTGCAGTATGTAATTTTGGCATATTTGGTTCTGGAAGCAGTGCTTTTCTGGGGAAAAAAATAGCACAACTGAAATATAATGGCAGCATGAAATGGCATGGTATCAAAAAAGGCTTGATTCTGTCAGAATATAATGGATGGGAGTATAATGGAAGAGAGCCAAGATATTCTTATCTGTGATCACTGTAGGAAATCAGTGCTGGTTTTAACATCTGGGTAGTTCTTACACTTGCAAAGGTATTCATGTAACATCTTGTAATACCAGCCTCTCTGTAATGTTCAGAGTGGTAAAGAAAAGATTCTTTAGAAGTTCTGGAGTTTCTGTATGTACACACTTCATATGGGTAGTCAGTACAACATGCTATGGCTTATATTAACTCTAGTACTCTAGAACTTGAAACTGTACAGAAGTGTAATACTACTATTATTTCTGACTCAAAAATATGAAAAAGGTCCATGGTTTAGCTTGAACACATTAATATTCTCTCACAAAAGGAAGAAAACATGCAGCAAGCACGTGAGGAAGAAGAAAGACGGAAAGAAGCAACTGCACACTTCCAGATTACACTGAATGAAATTCAGGCTCAACTGGAACAGCATGGTATACATAATGCCAAGCTCCGCCAGGAAAATATTGAACTGGGGGAAAAACTGAAGAAACTCATTGAGCAGTATGCACTGCGAGAAGAGGTGCTTACATTATGCTTCTAATGGGATACTGTTAGTTCCTTGACTGTAAAGATCAGATAACTATTTATAGGGGACAAAACCCTGTAATATTTTACAGCCATCATGTATATAAATTATTCCTTTTACTTCACTACTGTGAAAAATTAAGTAGCCGTTGAGCCCACTGTCTGCCTTTTCTGTCTGGTTTTGCATATCTAAATTCAAGATATATTGAAAAAAAAATCTTTCATGGTGAAAGTGGTCAGACAGAAATGAGTAGTCTAGAGACTGGGAAATCTGTCTTTAGAGTTATTCAGAACTCAGCTGGGCCAGACGTGAGCAGCCTGATCAGACACTGCAGCTGACTGGGGTTTGAATGAACTAAAGCTTCCAAAGGTTATTTCCAACATAAGTATGTGTTTGAAGTTCTTCTAAATTATAAATTTACCAGCATAAGAGTTATTGTCTGTTTTACTTTGATTCATTATGGTTGGTGGTTTTTGGGAAGCTCCTTTATGTATGTAGCTGCTCTTGTTGGCACAGAATCAAAGTAAGCTATCGTGCTTTAAGAATATATTTGGACCAGTGGTATGGAAATGACTCTATTATAGGACTAACCGAGCTAGCTTCAATTGGCACCAGCATGTAAGCTAGCCAGTCTAAGCTACAGTAGTGGAAAAAGGCAGCTCTTGTCAAAGAGAGAATTGACTTTCAGGGAGTTCTACAGCTAAGATTAGCTTGCTAGTTTTTAATTGGCAGAGGAGATTTGGAATGTAGTTATTCAGTTGTGGTTCTTTTTCTTGGGGGTGGGGAGGTTGGTTAGTTTTAAACCTGGAACAGTTAGAGAGCTTTCTGTAGACTAGTTCCCACCTTCATGAGATAATGTGGGGAAGAGAAAAGGTAGAAAGATGCCTCATGCTACTTACAGATGCATGTAAGACTGCAAAAGTCAGTGATTTGTGGAATTTCATCAGCTAAATAAATTGTTGTTGAAAACTTTGCTCATTTTGAGCTTTTTTTAACAATGAGGACCAGAGATTCTAGAAGTAACAACTACAGTAAGGGTTAGAGATAATACACTACCTTTAGAAGAAAGGATATAGACTACCTGTTACAGGACTTTTGTATGTTTGGTGTGTAGTGACTTACAGCATTGTACCAGTTTAATACAATATGCATCTGGCTTCTGTGAAAGACAATAAAAGCGTAGTTACAGTGCATGGACATAGCAGAGAAAAGGCATGTAAAACAGCCTTTGCCTCTGTTTCTTTTGAATGAAACTTCTAAACAATATGCATTTCCCCATACATGTATATTTACCTTAATTGACCTGTGCACTGTTTATATTTGACTGATATGATTTCCTTTCTTTAGCATATTGATAAAGTGTTCAAACATAAAGAACTGCAGCAGCAACTTGTGGATGCCAAACTTCAGCAAACTACCCAGCTTATTAAAGAAGCAGAGGAGAAACATCAGCGAGAAAGGGAGTTTGTAAGTGAATTCTTTGTAAAGATAAATAACAAAACCCACCAAACCATATTTTTCATGATTTGAAACAGATTCGGCATATTGAGGGTACTGTCTATTGAAAGTTAGGATAGATTTCAACACTGAGACTGAGATTTAAGTTTTGTGTATGTGTAATGCCTTCAATATTAGTGTCCATATTTACAGGCAAGTAATGTTATCGTTTGCATTTTCTCAGCAAACGGGCTGGATATTATTTAGATTTTTTTTTACTGGGAAATGTCTTGAGCTGAAACACCAAAGGTACTCTTGTGGTCAGGAGTTGTAACTTCTGGTTTTACGCTGTAAGAAATAACAAGTGCCGAATAAAGCATATGCTTTTTTGTTTGTCTCCAAAACTATGGCTGATGTTTTATTTATACGTTCATAATCAGCAATTTACTTGCAGTCTTCCAAGAAGTTTGCTTCAAATTAAAAAAAAATAATACTTAGGTGAAGTGGTGGTTTGTTTTGGTTTGTTTTTTTGTTTGTTTTTTTTTGCCAGTGTTCCTTATGTATCTGTAACTTCTAGACAAAGCCTTGCTTTTCCTGTATTATCTTAAAATGATCATCCAGTGTGGGGTTGTTCTGTATTTTTAAAACATAATTTTGGAATCAGATGCTGATGAAAATCTTTTCAAAGATGAACCTACAAAATGGTGTCAAGTTGAAGCAAAATTGGTTTTAACTAGACTGTAAAGGCTATTGTAAAGGCAGTATTAGTGACTGGAGAAATGGAGGAAGAAAATAAATCAGGTTACAAAACAGTTATAAATTGCATACAGTTTCTTAATGAGCTACTCATAAATTTAGCAGTTCAAACTTGCTGCAGAAATAGAAATGTTGACTCATGCTACCAATTAGAAAAATGTCTCAAAAATTTCTGCGTGCCAGCACATGTTTCAAATCATATATGTGAAAGTATAGTAATAAAAAAGCCCAAGTGAGAAAACATGGTTGGATGGCAGTTAGGCGATGTTAATGTTTGTTTCTTTTTCGTCATAAATGAAGCCATTTATAGGAGTACTTTCTGCATTATAAGGCTTTCTGCATTGTTGTTTGTTGTTTGTTTTTTTTTGTTTTGCTTTTTTTTTTTAGTTGCTAAAAGAAGCTACTGAGTCCAGACACAAATGTGAACAGATGAAGCAGCAGGAAGCTCAGCTGAAGCAGCAGGTATTTTTTTGGTGGTTGTTTTTTGTTTTGTTTTTTGTTTGTTTGTGGGTTGTTTTTTGGTGTTTTTTTGTTGTTGTTGTTTTGTTTTTTTGTTTGGTTTTTTTTTAACAGAGTTGTCTTCAATACATTTTTTCTAAAAAGAAAACACCAAAATATTTGTGATTGTAGTGAACATAATGCAACATACAGAAAAACTACATGTTATCATTCGTGCAGATACGTATCATTCAGATGTTATACGCTACTTGTGAAAATTATTTGGTGTTTTTTAATTGTCTTTAATTTCCAGTAGTTAACTCTTCGATAGTGAAGTGTGAAATGCAAGTTGTAAAGACATTTTTGTACTTGCTGTGTAATACTTCTGGAGAGTACTGTAACTGGGAGGTGCTAAACATTGAATTGCTGGAATTAGTATACTTTTTAACTATTAGTGATAGTATTACAAAGACCAGAATATATGAAAGTTTAACAGTCTATTCATTGTGATGGCTACTTCACCATTCCTTGGCTTCTCTGAAACTCTTGTTTTCTCTTCTACAATTTTATTTTGCTGGAATGAATCATGTTTGGTTTTAATGTGTTTATGTATGTGTGTGTGTATAGATAGATATATACACACACACAGATATATATATCTATATAGAGAGATATATATGTATCTGTTCAGAACCAGAGAGGCCCTTGTGACTATAGAGAGTTGGGTGAGGATTTTTACCCAGAATTTGTTCCTTACTGTTTCTGTCTCATCCTGTTGTAGAGGACTGGGAACAAGCCATGTCACATCTATCTCTGTAGTTATTCAGATTTAGTAACCTGAGTGTCTCTGTCCACAAAAACCTGCTATCTTCGGATTGTTTTCTTGCTATAAATGCTACAGCAAAATCTTCTCTGTGAGTGGAGAAATAGCCTCCAGTTTTTGCACTTTGGTTCTGGATCACCTGCAGTCATTGTCCAAACGCAAGCTCAGCACATAAGGCAGAGGGAAGTGGTTGGTTCAGCACATATATACATAGCATCTGAGAAGCAGTAGCTATTTCTTTTATTGTATACCTCTTACTGCTTCACTTTTGTGAGGCTTTGTGTTAAGTCTTCTTGCAAGCTCTATTTCATTCCTTTTTTCTGTGCTTACTATACCTAATTCTTTTCCAGGCTCTCCAACAGTTCTGTTCCAAGTGTGTGTGTATTTGTGCAGTTAGATGTAATCATGTGGACACCTCTCCACTGAACTTCAATACATTAATACCCAAATTATCCCAAGTAGTTTTTTGTCATGCTTAGTCTTTTATGATTTTTTTTTTTTTGGTAGTTGATTACCTTTTATTCAAAATGCCACTGCCTTTTTGTTACGCATTTTAATGGTAACGGTGCGTATAGTTTGTGGTTTCCTGGGGCTGACAGATTCTTCTGTAGAATAAGATGAGCTAGAAGGTTCAGTTACAATAGCAGCAGTCGTCATGTACTGTTGACAAGCCAAGCTAATTCCTGTTATGAAGTTGCCTCTAGTACTAGGGCAAAATATATTTGTGTTCTGAACGGTATTGTCCTTTAATCCTCAGTGTAAGAATTGAGAGAACTGATTATTCAGGTGGACTAGGAAGATGGTCATGTATTCTTAGAACATCAAATCACACATTGGTATTATAGGTTGTTTTAGTAAGGACCATAAGGTTTTGGGATATTTTTTTTTTAAACAGGTTATGTTAATGAATATATTTTTCAGTTCCTTAATTATTGGCCTTGTGATGTAGGGCAAGAAAATTTTCTGTCATTGTAGATTAATATTCTTCACTTGTTAAAATGTAAGCCTTTTCACTATTAAATTAATTCCTTGTCAGTATTCTCTGCCCATTCTTTTTGCTTAGTGGGCAGATTTCATAATTGTGAATGTGTATTTGATTTCTGGAATGAATCGTATTTATTTTGTCCCAGCCTTGCTTGTTACCTGTGGGTGGTTATGGAGAGGTTTTTCGAGTATGATTTCACTAACCAGGTGCTGAATTTCCTGTATCTGTCGAGATGATTTTTTTTTTTATTTTTTTTTTTTTTTTTTTCAGTAGGGAAGCAAAAATGAGATAGTGATGAACTGTGATGTCTTCAAACATTTTATTAGGCATAATACCCTTTCTACTTAAGAATATATTGCTGTTCTGTAATCTTGGAACTCCTTTATATTCGGTTTCAATAGCAGGTTTTCAGACAGGTTCTGCAAGCTTCTCAAATGGAGATCATAGGATAGTATAAAAAAAATTTTAATCCTCTAATATTTTGAGTTTCATTTTGCCTTGTACTATATTTTTGTATTTGTATACAGCTGTTCGGATTAATGTTCGTGCCTCTTTTTCCAACAGCTTTCTCTTTACATGGATAAGTTTGAAGAATTCCAGACCACCATGGCAAAAAGTAATGAACTCTTTACAACCTTCAGGCAAGAAATGGAGAAGGTACTTACAGGATTACCTGGTTTCATAAAAAGTAATATAAACATGCATGCTGTTACTGGGATGCATTTTAGATTTTATAACAGTGTTTACCTTCTGAAAATATATGAAATATTTTTCAATTTATTTTGGATCATAACATAGAGCTTAAAAATTTGTCATATTATGGAAGAGAAATGGTTTTGGAGGTTTTTTTAACAGTTTTTAACACACTTACGTAATAACCAAAATCCTAATTTGAGTGTTTTATTAAAGGCATAAAATACTTCTCAGTCTTCTTGGCTGTGCTTTTTTAAAACTTCTTTCCCTGGAGCCCTTTAGTTTTGCTTGAAAGTTGCTAGTCTGCTTCTTCTAAGGATCAATCTTGTTTTCTTTGAATGCAGAATTTGTATGTGCGGGGTTGATTTTTGAGCAAAAAGACTTCCCTGTAAAATAACTTGTTCAAACTGAACTTGGAAAGTAACAATAAGAAGTCAACGCAAGCCACAAAATTAAGTCTTCTGTTTGTCTCTTGCAGATGACAAAGAAGATTAAGAAACTGGAAAAAGAAACCATAGTGTGGCGTACAAAATGGGAAAACAACAACAAGGCTCTTCTGCAAATGGCTGAAGAGGTAACTACCATTTAAGCAGCAGTATGTCTAAACTAGAGTCTATGTCCTGGAGAACTTCATGCAATTTCTTAGTTTTAAAGAACTGAATATACTGCACAGTAGCTGCCTCTTGGTTTGTCTGCTGTATGGTTTCTGTTCTGTAAATGGTACTGGTGGTCTTAGACATGAAAAACCAAAAGCTGATTTATAAATCTAAACTCACGACAAAATCAGCCTTATCTTTTCTTGCTTACTGTTTAATTGGTGGGATAATGTGTATAAAATCATGCAAGCTGAATGAATTTCCTGTATTGTAGTATGCTGAGCAAAGTTCAGTCAGTGCTGTGATAGAAATAAGTTTTAAATACCCAAGACAGACATGAAGGAAATAACACGTGTAAGGAATCAGTTACTTTTCTACACTGCTTCTGCTTTTAGCGTCATGAAATACCATTACCTACCTAATCGTAGTCTAGTAAAAGAGGAGCTAAAACAGTTTTCACAGAAACTATAGGCATACAGTTCTGTCTGCACTGTCAAAGGTCTAGTTTAAGTATATGAGGTATGATCTTGCTAGGCTGTGCTAAGTCCTATAGGTTTGCTATGGCACTGCTTATCTTTCTCAGTTCTTTTAAGGAGCTAGTTAAGAGAACCAGGACTACGATACCTGCTGACCTGGATTTTGGATTGTAGATTTCCCTCATTTGTGCCCTTCTGCTCCCTATAATTGCCATTATTTGGGTTGTAAATGCCTTGTATCGGGATCCTTACTGATGCTCAGCCCTCACAATTAGCATTATGCTGTTATAGAGGTATCAACTGCTTGTTGCTAAAGGTGTGTGTTGCCACTCCAGCTTAGACAAGCCATTGCTAGTGGTCAGGTATTCTAAGGAAATTTGCTCTGGAATTTGACCTACTGGATTAATTAGAACTTAATATTCAGGATTAAATAGTAGTCAGTCTTTTAATTTAAGGGGGGAAAAAAAACCAAACAAAATCAGTGTAATCACAGAGCTTTTTGTCTTTCGTCCTTCAGAAAACAGTAAGAGATAAAGAATACAAGGGCTTTCAAATAAAACTGGAGCGCTTGGAAAAGCTATGCAGGGCTCTTCAGACAGAGAGGAATGAGCTGAATGAGAAGGTGGAAGTCCTGAAGGAGCAGGTTTCTCTCAGAGAAGCAGATGTGGATCTAGCTGTGCAGGTGTTGCAGTCCTGCACGCTCAATTCCCACGAGGAGCTGGGAACTCCCAGTGACATGGAACCAGGAATCCAACCTGATGTGGAATCACTTGTGGCAAATAATTTGGCAAAGACTGTCTCAACAAGTCCTGTTCCTGGCACTGAATCTGTAGACTAAAATGAAGTGTAAACACTGTATTGAGAGATATATTTTGTGTATAACTTTCTCTGTTGGTGGTAACTATTTGGTTTTGTGGTGAAAATTTTCTTACTTTTTCTACCATATCTGTATTTTCTTAGAACTACTGGACTTACGTGGTACAGGAAGCTGCATAGCAGCTTTAAATAGCTTAAACTATAGATTTTCCACAACTGTGTTGCACATCTGCCTCATTTTTTTAAAAGAAAATATTTTTCCATAAAAGGATGCATGTGCATTTCCTCCCCACAACACAGATCACTGTCATGGAAGACCGTGTACAGATACAACATCGTTCTGGGGAAAATAGTGACAGCAGGTCACATTTTGGTTTAAATAATATCATTCTGGTTTTGTTCATTGATTCGTCACTCAATATACTAAAGAATACTGATTTCCCCGATAAATGTATCTGCATTAGGATGTCTAATGGCCAGTAAAAAAAAGTCAGCTTTCCCCTCTAGTATGTTTTCATATATATGAATGGAAAACTAAAGGTCCAGGACATAGTAAAAAATGTTTAAAGGCTTTTACGTACTTTGTGGTATGAAAAAAACAGCTTTGAAATATGTCAATTTGCAGCTGGTGAAACAGGGTGTACAACTTTGTGCAGGCTTCTCAGGGTTGTGTTGTAAAGGCTGGTTTGGGCTATTTGCTCTATCTGTGAACGTGTTAAATATAAATACGTGAAAAAACGCACAGCAACGTTACTGAGTGGGATTTTGCCATTGTGTAGCCTATTCCATGGGTGTTAGTCATGTTCTTCCCTCTTAGCTGCAGCGTGTCCATCACATGGTTATCCTGACTAGAGGAATCCATTGCTGTCTAGACAAATCTCCAGATTATCTGAAAGGCCAAAAAATAGACATTTACTGCTGGAGGCATGGAAAACATGAGTCTGTAGCATATAGGCTTTCTCTAACAGCCTTGTATGCAGTATATTTAAGTTAAGCATGTACTGGTTATAAGTGAACAGGTAGATTCAAATACTTTTCTTGAAGTACAACATGGAATTTCTTGCACGCTCAACCTCAAAGCTGTACCAGTTGGCAGAGTGCCTTCCCAGTTAGGTTATCTGGTAAAGATGGTACTTCAAGTTCTTATTCTTAACATACCACAAGAGAAGCTCCCTTGTTAACCATAAAAAAAAAATCCTAGAAAAATTGATAGCCACATTTTGACTTTTGTTCCTGAAAGAAACTAGGACCAGCATTTAACTTCGGACAAGGCAATGTGTGAAAAAACTGCAAGCTACCCATAACTTTAGTTCCCATGTATTTACTTTCTAGTTTTGGTTGCTGTCATTTTAGGAAATATGAACATGTGTAGCCTTTTCTGGTACTTAAAGTTCTTTGCACTTACTTGGGAGAGGTTTTCTGAATCCAGCGCATCTCTCAATGAGCTTCCCACCCTCGTTGCCCGTGACCATTTAGTGGCTAAATTACTTGAATGTTCAGACTGCACTGAGCTCCTGATCCTTTTGCTGTAGTAATGTACATTGAGATATTGTAGCTGTCTCTGAGAGAGTAAGGTCATATAAGGCCTAATAGATGTGTTTTAGCTCATACCACTAAGAGGAGCTGTGCAAAACTGACACTTCTTAAATGGTGGAGCAAATGGGAAGCTGGCCATCTTTCTTCTAGATTTGTGCAAGGTTTGTGTTTGTGGTCCAAGCACAATGCAGGAATGAAAAGAAGGTAGCAGTGAGCAGTCAGTCACATTAGACTAGGAGCTTTGAAATGTTAATCATGCTAACCATATGGCATAAAAAAAAGACTGGAAAGAAGTATTTCAGACTTGCTTTTCAAATTACTTGCTTTACAGAATCAGACTGTTTAAAAAAAAATAAAATAGTACTTGTGAGGACTAGTTTTCAGCTAACACTAAGCATGAAGTAATTTTCCTGAGGAAAAGTGAAAAACTTTGTATCTGATGCATCATACCCTTGGCAAGGTAGGACATACAGTTTTCTATTTTTACTATCTATTATTTGAACATTTGTATCTTTAACAATTCTTTCTATAGTGCTTGTTCTATATGGAGGCAAGAGTGATTTTTTTGCACCCTGCTGCAAGAATATTTTAAAGGGCTTTTAGAGACACGACAGATGTATAGAACAGCAATACAAATATATTTGTTATTGACTTAATATGTGAATGAAGCAGAACACCCCAAGTGATGAAAGGCTTTTAAAACGGGGATACCCTTTTCTCTTTACTACCCTAAACATACCCATATCATATTGACTTATCTGGCCAAAGTGAGCTATACGTCGCTTCCTGAAACCAGTCAATAGTTCCATGCATTGCTTTGAGAATGTTGTTAAAAAAAAAAATAAAAAAATAAAAAACACAAATTCATCTAATAAATAATTAAAAACCACAAATTCATCTAAGGATAAGCTCAGCACTCTAACTGATCTGCCATACAGCAGGCTATTGCACTGCCAGTCTGCAGCCAAGTGGGTTCCAGTAGGGTTTTTAAGTAAACTGGTATGAATGCCTTTCTCCCACTACCATAAACTGTTTAACCTGGGCTGTTAAACTGATGTGGCCAGAAATAAGTACGTCTAATTGTCAAAACTCTGGGGCCCAAAAGACAGTTTCACCATGCTTAAGCTGCAGAAAGCTAAATGGGATGTGATTCAAGACCCAAATGTGTGTATATGTACACAAGTAAGTTAGGGCTGTATCTCTAATGTTTTGTCCTTCCTTTCATTACACCTGGTTACGTTACAGTTCAATTCTCAGGTGTTGCAGAAAATCTACCTCTTTGGACTGTAGATGGAAATAACTGTGAAAAAAGTGATGCAGAAATCTAGTTTGTGCTAAACACACTGCTTTATTTTTACAACCCATGTCTGCTTTCATGAGGAAAAATGATAAATGAACAGGCAGTCTTTGTTTTGCTTTTCAAGAACATTTTGTAGAGATTTTTCACTAATGTGAATCTGAAATTTTATCTACTCAATTCTGTATAGATTAAGTAAATAAGTATGCTTAATATATTGGACTCTGAGTTTTTCTTTAACATCGTATTCATGTCTTCTGACTGGATCTACTGAGCTCATTGTATTGTTTGCAAAAAAAATCAAAAATGAAAATTAAAAGATGTTAAATTTGAGTTGAAGTGTATTGTTCAAGTGCAATGCCCTGAGCAGGTGCTGCCACATGGTTGTGTTGGTGAGTGGTGTGCTACCAGTGGAAACTACAAGCTGAGTACAGGAAGTAAGATGGGGGGCAGCTCAGGCCATGGAGGGCCGGTGCTCTGCTGATCCTGTGGCAGCTTGCTTTGATTTCTGCCCCCAAAAATTTACCTACCATGGTTCAGCTGCTGCAGTATGAGAAATACGGGGTTCTGTGTTAAAAATCAGGTTCTCTAGTAATGTCATCAGGTGCTCCCCATTCTGTCATGTGGTGTGGGGTCCTACTAATGCACAGTTCCCTCTCAGTTTCCTAATAATGCTAAGCGCTCTGTTTGCCACCTTTGGCATATTCCCTAACATTTGGCAACTTCCCCTAACTTACAAGAACATTTTGGGGGTTCTTTTTTCCTTTACATACACATTTCTTCTAGGTAGCACATAGGATTGTTTTACAATACACTGTGATGTTCCCTGTGACTCTTTGAGATGAGGAGTCAGGGGGAAGAGGGTTTATTTAAATTTCTCAGCTTTTATAAAATGGGTATCTTCAAACAAGTGAACAGTGTAGGTTCTACACCTGAGCCTTGTCTAGAGCTGTGTCAAGTATTGAAAATCCAAGTGCATTGCCTGGTCTCCACTGCAGTCCTTGCTGTACTTGTTTGCTGCTCCAAATATTCCTTCGCATCTGAGACTTGTCTCCACAAAAGGCACTGCTTCTGCCCCTGTACAGAATTGTAGAATCATAGACTGGTTTGGAAGGGACCTTAAAGACTACCCAGTTACAACCCCCCTGCCATGGGCAGGGACACCTTCCACTAGACCAGGTTAGTCCAAGCCCTGTCCAGCCTGGCCTTGAACACTGCCAGGGATGGGGCAGCCACAGCTTCTCTACTATTTCTATCCTTTGTTATGGTACATACTGATGAAGAATTCCAGTCTATTGTTAGTAGTGCCATGGATCTCCCCAGTCTTCCTAAATTCCTCATGAAAACTGGTAAGATTTGAAAGCTTTTTCTGGAGATAAATTTGGTTATGCATCACAGTTAATAGCTGGGAAATTTGCCTTTTTATTAGGTGCTAAGCCTCTTCTGTTCATGTACACACACAGCTATACATTTGAGCTGTACTTAACTCTTCTTGTGAAGAGTAGCTCAGACATGAGAACCTCTTTCACCACCTGCATTTCCAGCCTTTCAGTCCAGCTGCTGGGGTATCATCTCCCTGGCAGGTGGGCAAGTGTGTTTGGTGTTCTTTAACAAGATAGTTGTGTTTGTGCCTTCAGTTAGTTATTCTTCACAGGTACTTTTTACTTATTTCTGATTTTTTTCTTTCTTTTTTTTTTCTTTTTTACATTTAAATTCTGATTATCCACCTTTTTGCTCTTCAGGCATGTCTTCTTGGAAGAAGGGTGTATTTTCTTCTATCAGTCCAACTCAGACTCATCTAACTATGCTACTTGTTACTGACCTTGCTGACTCTGGCACCCCATTTAGCCTTGAACTTAAGTGATTTAAGAATATTGTGCTACCTGTAAAGACTTAATTTTGATTTCTTTTCAAACTGTTATCTTCTAGCTTTGAGGTTGCAGGTTATTTTGGATTTCTTGCTCAAACAAGGACCTGGGGTGTGCGTGTTATGTGGACTGTGGTAGTTGACTCTTGCAGCAGGCTCCCTGCATAGTTCAGGACTTTGCCAAGAATATTGCTCCTAAAGCTCTGACTCATGAAGTAATTTCTTACAGCATCTAAAAATCTAAACACCCTGTTTGCTGAAGCTGAGGAGATGAGTTCAAGTCCTCATTCAAGTCCTTTTTAACTTTATTCTAAATACAGTCGTGTAACAAGATATTCCATACTGATGTAGTTCACTGTCACTTCCACCAGGTTTTTGCCTTGGAGTCAAGAGTCAAAATAACTACCTCAGTTCTGCCAAGTCCAGGATATGTTACTGCTATTTAAGCTGTGTGATTTGGTGGGTTGGTTGGTTGGGGTTTTTTTCCCTACCACCAGTATTCATATAAAGCCATTTAATCTTGATCATGTTGCCTGTCTTATAAATCCTGCTCATAAGCGCTTTTGCTGGCTTTGATTGTGGTTCTGCCCTTTCCTGCCAGGAGGTTTCTGACTTCTCCTTAAGCCTTTTATCTGGCATATGTCTTTTATGCAGGCTTGAATTTTGAAGCAGAGAATCTTTGCCTTTTAGTAAAGGGGAAGAGTAGGTACACAGCTCCCAAACATCAGGTCAGCACTTGTTACCCGTATTGGGCCATGCCTGGACTGGGGGAAGCTCTGGGTTTGACATTCACAGGACATAAGGTGATGTTGAGAGAATGAAGAAGAACCTACCACAATGGACTTTTTAGTGGCTGAAAAGCAAAAGGTCAAAGCAGGAGTTCACTAAGCACTTGTTCTCTGTAGAGAGTTTACACAGCCAACAAAGTGCACTTTGTTCCGTTCTTTCAGTGCTGAAGTGAAAAGGTACAGTGTGCGCACCAGCAATAACAAAGTATACTATGAGTAAGGGCATAACCACATGGCTGTGTATCAAAAATTCTGTGGGATCGAAGAGTTGACACTGTTAAGAGTCTTGTGTGCTGCAATAAAAAGGAAATGCAGTTCTTCACTCACAATAAAGGAAAAACCCTGAAATTGCTTTTCTCACTGGAAACAATTGGAGTGAGGCCGGAGGAGGCCACAAAGATGACCGGAGGGCTGGAGCACCTCTCCTGTGGAGACAGGCTGAGAGAGCTGGACTTGTTCCGCCTGGAGAGGGACTTTTCACAAGGGCGTGTAGTGGTAGGACAAGAGGGCATGGCTTTAAGCTGAAAGAGGGGAGATTTAGGTTAGACATAAGAAGTTTTTCGCTATGAGGGTGATGAGACACTGGCACAGGTTGCCCAGAGAAGCTGTGGCTGCCCCATCCCTGGCAGTGTTCAAGGCCAGGTTGGATAGGGCTTGGAGCAACATGATCTAGTGGAAGGTGTCCCTGCTTGTGGCAGGGGGATTGGAACTGGATGAT